TATCTCTCTCCTTCACTCTAGCCCAAGATTAGTCCTGGTTTATTCATTTTATGCTGAACTGCAGCCAAATATGCACTTTTTTTTTTTATCCTATGCACACGCAGATTTCTGAAAGTTTTGTTTTCAGCCGCTGCTGCTGTCAAACTACGGGTCTACATGCGGCATGAAGAGAAAAAGTGAGAAAAAGAGAAAACACGGCTCCCAATAAGAAACATGCTCCCGTTGTTCGCTTCAAAGAGCCGGCTCTAAGAGCCGCTTCGATCGCGACCGACCCATAACTCCTAGCTAGTAAATAAACTACCGCTATTAGCCTTTAGCCGTAAAAACTTGCGCACCGCGGTAATTAATTATATGCATAAATGTGGATCATTCACACGTCTATTCACAGCTCATTTACATATCAATACTGGTCCAGTAACAAATATACGGCCAATACACTCACTTTACAATAGACCAATAGAAAACAGTCTGTTTATGTGCGGGAGCTACAGCAGCTAATCGGTAACAAAACCTAAACTAGCTTCAAAGTCGATGTATTTCCAACACTCACCACTCACGCAGGCTCCTCCTCACATCACAAGTCTGAACTAATAAATGTCCTTTTAATCCAGACTCAAACCGATTGTCCGTAAAAAGAATATAATCTTAGTGTTGTGCACCGCTGCGGGTGTAAACAATAGCACGCGAGTGAAGTGACGTGACTCTGTGGTGTGTTCAGGGACAGTACGGACACAGACAAATTACACCGCAGATAAATACTGATGCGGAGCCACATATTAGGACATTTATCTGTCTGTAAATTGGATTAAATGAACATAATGTAGAGATTCTAAGCTTTATAACAAGGTATAACATGCCCACGTAAAATATCGGCCCGTATCAGCAAGCATATAGGCCGATAGCCGATATGTCTCTATGTGCCCATATTGGCCGATAATATCGGCCAGCCGATATATCGGTCGGGCTCTAATATTGATACCTCCTTAAATGAGTATCTAGTTTCAATATTAGTTAGTATCAATTAGTATCTGATTTTCGGACTCTCTGGCACAGATACTGCACTAACTGTACAGAAAAATAAAATAAGTAAGCATTAAACAACACGGAGAAACACCACTTCGCTGTGTGTTGTGGTGTCCTATGACTCCACAGCGTGTGTGTTAAAACTGCAGAACGCTCGACCCCTCGTTATTTAATGCACTTACACCACGTCTACAAACTGAAATGTGTCACTTGTGGAACTGAAAAGCCTGTATCCTGTCTGTTCATGTCTCAAAATAGCTATGTCTGTTTTTTAAATTAAGCTAGTACCTAATTTCGACTCAGAGCAGTAGATGATGTGTTTATCTGTTGCTATGGTGATGTAATTGTGACAGTAGCAGTGCAGTGATATGTAAAAGCATTCAACAATGAGGAACAGTGTGATAAAACTGCAGAACGCACTGCTCCAAGTTGTTTAATGAAATTATACTAGAGATGTCCCGATCTTCCCAGTCTTTCTGCCCCCGAGTTTGAGCCATTTGATTTTGAGTATCTGCCAATACGGAGTCCCGATTCGATACTTCTATAATACATTATGAAATGAACTAAGAGCAAAGAATAAGATCCAGGATGTATGGTGGGATCAGATTGTATTGATGTCATGTGTAGCATTTGGGCTGAACTTAATGTGAAAAATCAAATGTCCAAAACTTTAATTTTATTTAGTACTTTTCTAACCATGCACCACCATTGTTTAAAATCTTTACTTTTACCACAATACGTTCTTGGCATGTGTAACTGAGTAAACTTAATGAACTGAACAAAACAGGAACCAGACCAGAATCAGATCAGACCTGAGACTAGACTTTGGACAATCTACACTTTGTATATTTGATATTATATGGAAGCCTGTGCATTACATTTGAAACATTTAGGCTTGTCTATGAAATCCAAATAATACAAAATCTTACCAAATAAAAATAAGATGACATTTATTTTTCATAACTCTCTTTGTGCACCCCCATTTGTCATTCTGTGTACCTCTGGGGGACCACGTGAATGACTGTGATATTTATAATGTCTAACGGATTGACAGTACTTCTTAGGAACTTTGATTCTTACAATATAATGTAATTAAATACTATATTCACCTGCAGTAAGACTAGAGTTTAAGACTGGAGTTGTTACATCAGTGCCCACCCCCGATAAGAACCACGGACAGGGACAGAAACCCCACAGCCTCTCAGTGTTTTAAATGAAGCTAGTCCCTACATGCTACCCACCGCAGTTGAGCATTTGTTTACCCGTTGCTATGGTGATGTCATGGCAGTATGATGATAGAACAGTGATTTGGCTGTTGCCGGAACTACTTATGTCTTATGGAGTATTAACACAAGGCAGTTAGCCATTGGAATTCTCACTGACCCTGGTATAACAGAGCAAATGTAAGTATTGATTCCCCACAGGAGGTGAGGACAAAACTATCAGTCAATCAGTCTAAGCTCCCACAGCAGTCTCTCAGTGCTCATTTCCTCATCTCAAAAGCGTGTTATGATGAATGTAGGAGTTCAAATCAATTACATCAGCTTTTCTTGTATCCCGCCCTATTATAGTTGTACATTAGAAGACTTCATGTTCTGCTGTATATTTTCCTGAGTTTTGTGAGCGGCAGACGAAGGCTCGATGAGGAGGAGAGGAGAGGGGAGGAGGGGTGAGAGAGAGGCCATCTGTGCCCTGGTGATTCAGCCCACGCACTCAGCTCTATTCATTTCCACAGCATCAGCCAGACCTATAGCCCCAATACTGCTGCTAATCACATATGAGACAAACAACTTTAGCTTTTTTTCCCAGATATTTATTTTAAAACTAGTCACCGTTGTCTCTACATTTTGTTAATTGTAAACTGCAATTTTGATTTAAAACGGTTTTATGATAGAGACATTTTCATTGACCTATGTTTAAAAAAATGCAGAGGTACAGTGGAATTTTATTGTAACAAGCAGCAGTTTTGAATTTTTATGCATTCACAATTAAGTACAGAGAAGTGAGTGGAGATGGGAGGTAGGAGAAAACTGTTATTTTCTAAGCAGTCAAGCCTCAAAAGCAGGAAAATACCAGACTACTCGTGTAACAAAATTCAACTTTGAGTCATTTTATGATGAAGAAACACTAGTTAACACATGTTTAACACACTGCAGATTTAGACTGAGTTCTTGTCTCGAATGGAAAACACTTCCACCTTGTGATGTCATGTGGTAATACAAGACAAACTCCATACACCTTCATTAAAATCATTTGGAACATTTCAGCCCTGGTAGATTAGGTAGGTAGCTTTTATCTTGAAAACCACCACTTCATGACATCACAAGGTGGAAGGGAGTATTTTGAGATTTGGAGATGTAGACAGACGAATAATAAAGGGTTAATCAAAAGTGTGGATGAAACAAAACACAACTCCAGGTCTGTTTTTTTTTTTTTTTTTTTCTGGAAGTTATATTATATATTATAATATATTATAATATAGCCTAAAACTCCTGAGAGTCAATTTTGTGTAATATAGAACCTTTTCTAAGTAGTTTTTTATTAAGTTCTGCATCATAAATCAAGGCAATATCTGTAATGCAATTTTCGAAGTGTTATAATCTCAAACTCAGGCTGTGACTCTGTGGTGCAGTCATAAGCCCTAAGCAGCCACATGTGGTGATTTCATCTTTTGGTTTATCCCCAGGCGGTCAATAGTGTTACATAACAGTTATAATAAAACAGGATTAGGAAAAACTGGCTTTTTTAGCATCACTATCAATCATATTTCAATAAATGCAAAACCCAGGGAAATGGTTTTAGGCTTTGCTATGTTTAACTACTAGGGCTGCATTTTTTTTTTCAGCTGATCAGATTGGTGATTTATCTGACAGGTCTTTGCATGTGGCTTTAGAAATGAGTTGTCAAAAATTATACCAAGATACTAAACAATATTTGCCTGACAGGACTTTTGCCTAACTCTTATCTCTCTGTATTTTTTATCTAGAGAGATATCAGTCTGGTCCCCACGCCTTCCTTGCACCTCGAGCCAGAACCAAACATGACCGTCCAATCAGATTTGTTTATTTTAGTGACTCATGTGAAATGAAGGAGCTCATTTGGTCACGTGTCATTCTGAACACTTCTCTGAGATAAGAAGAGAGTTGAATGCTTCACTCATTGATTCTATTGAAATCCACCATGTTTTTCAGTTCACTGTGATATTTTTTCTTTTTTTTTTTCATCATGAGGAACCACATTTATTTTCATATGGACAGACCTTGGATACGATAAAAATAAAAAATAAAGGCTAAATCATTGCTCTGATACTAAAAGTCTTTGTTAAACCGCTTCTTGCAAAGTTATTATGAAACACAAACATTTTAATCATCACAACAGTGAAAATATCAAATGTATTGCATGAAAGAGTTTCCTTCCACTAAATAAACAACAAAACTGTAGCACTGTAACAAAATAATTTAGTAAAATATACAAAAAAATGCTCTTATCGATACAGCAGCCCACGATATCGATACTGTATCATCACATTAAACTGTACGATATTTTGATATTTTTGCACACACTTTCCTGTCAACTACACCCATCTGAACTCTGGGAGATTCACTGATCATCACTGACTGTCTCACATTTTTGTACAGTATTAGAGAAATGTGTATTCTGGATCTCAGGCAAAAAGAATATGAACAAAATCTTAGGCATTTCAAAAATGTTCTCTAGTGAAGTCAGTGATACTTCCTGTAATGATCTTCTGTTCTTCATAAATTGCCTCTGGACTGATGTAAAACTATGATCCCAACAATAAGTAATGATTGAAAAAAACTTACCTGTTACCTTTCATACGCCCTTTAAGTTGTTTTATTTGAATATTGTGTTGTTGTTTTTTTACAATTAAAATGTGTCATATATTCTCACTAAATACGGAGAGATTGTCACTAAATCCCAGAGTACCTCATGTGTTTTGTCCTTTGTGTGTTTAGGGAGCAGGTGCAGGCCAACTGTGTGCGCTGGAGGAAGAGGTTTTCATTCCCCTGTAAAATGAGCGCCAACGCAGGGACCGGGGTCCTGGATCCCTGTGTGTGCAGAGTCTCTGTGAGGAAGGTAAGGGACATAACACATCACTATCAATGGGACAGGCCTGGGATGTTTAAAGGTTGTATGGCGGTTGTTTTTTTGTTTTTGTTTCAAATTGTCAATGAAAGTTTAATACCATTACAGAGATGTAGCAGCCTTGTAATTATGATGACCAAAAAAAAAAAAAAGAATGAAAATCTATGAACTGTGGACGTGGTGGGGCCAGATAAACATCAGCCAATAGATAACGAGGCTACCTCATTATCTATTGGCTCTTAGGTTGTCAATCAAACTCCCTACGTTTCTAGTGTAACTGACTCGCGACTCGCAGGGATTACGTGGTTTATGCTGTGGTTCTTAGAGGCTTTTTTAAACTGTAGCTTCCTCGCAATTCGCACAAAGTTTGTTGCAAAAGAAAGTCCGTTTTTGAGGTCGCTGAAAGAAGAGAAGGGGGAAAGGAGCGAAGACAAACTGAGGTGATTCTTGGAGATTCCTTCCAGTGATTGCGCGACTGAAGCAGACAAAGGTTCTAAAAACTGACGCGTCGGTCGCTAAATTATTTCAGGTCACTTCAACAGTAATTCTGAACGTGCACTGGCTGGAAACAAGTGTGATTTCTAGAGTAAGGAGGCGGGAGGAGATGTTTCTACTGAGGGAGCTGTGGAGGAGGGAGGTGGTGTCACGCATGCGCAACATTTGAAAAAGAACTGTCGCTGTATTTCTTTCCTTAAAAAAATCCTCTATACAACCTTTAAGTGAAATGATGTTGCTGGGTTTCAGATGACATCCCAGGACAATATTAATGAATACAGATGGAGGGCAGCTATAATGAATATTGTTAAAATGTAAAATGATGTTGTAATACAGTGAGTTTTAGCGTTTAGTCAATAACTGAAAATACCGGGTTCAACATTTGTGAATTTTTAGGGATGGAATGAGACACAATTTCCACAAGACGAGACGAGATACAAGATCTAATTCTAATTCTAATTCTAATATATACATTTCATGATTCAGTAAATTTTTGGCCTCACAATTTTTAATTTATTTACAATTTGTAATTTATTTTTATTTCCATTCTACTATTGCTTTTTGGAACATCTGTAAGAGATGTAACTCAGCAACACGTGACCCTTTTTTGTCCAATCCAAATATAAACACATGATCACTTTTCTCATATGTGCACGATCTTGTGGAAAGAAATCTTATACCATCCCCAGAATTTACCTTTTGTTTTATGATAAAGTACAATGTAATCAATAAGGAAATCTAGCTCTTGCCCTCCATCGAGGACTATTGCATCATCATGTTCTAAAACCTGAAAACTACCAATTTAAAGGGCTCCACAATATATCATGATGTGAATAGATAATATAACTAGGTAATAATTGTTGTACCTGTAGTTTAGAGCTCTACAAACATGTTCTGAAAAGCACGGGACTCTTGTATTAGTTTAGCTGTTCATATTTCAGTCATTTCTGGAGTTCCCTTCCCTGAATCCCTCCAAAACCGTACTCGTACAGTGGCTCAGTGGTTAGAGCAGTGGTCCCTCAACATGAAGGTTAGAGGATTGATTCCCCCTTGTTGTGTCCATAGGCAAAACACTTCACCCACATTGTCTAGTACAAATTTGGTGAGTGAGTGAAAGTGGTCACAGATTGGCAAACGTTGCTTCCGTCAGTCTGTCCCAGTACAGCTTTAGCTTACCACTACCAAGTGTGGAGCCACTGAAAGGCTTTGTTGGGCCTCTTGAATATCATATTGTCTGAAAAATAATATTGAACCATGCCTAAAATTAACTCCAGTGATTTGTCTGTTGTTTCTTGCAGGAGCTGAAGGGAGGAAAAGCCTATGCAAAGGTATAGTGCTTCATACATGTCATAGTCTTTCTTTATATAGGCCTTATAGCACAGCCCTGTTCAGTCTGTAGAGCCCTCACACACACACACACAACATACACACATAACACACACAACACACACACAATGTACGTACGCACACACAGAGCAGATGGCCCCACAGCCCGAGGGTCAATCATGTTACATTGTTCAGAGCGTTTCATCAGACATACATGAACACACATTTGACACTAGAGATAATTTTAACTAACTGAAAGTCTCTGTATGTGGTTATGTGTTTTGGGCTATTTAAAAGTGCACTAGTAAAGGGTCTGCCGTGCTATTGTTTTGCATCTATTTGTTCCACTCTATGGCATTAAATGTAGGTCGCTGTTCCGATCATGGGGAAAATCTTGAGTCATAGCTAAAAATCGTGGTTCGCAAGTTACACATCGTTAAAATCGTTGTATGACCAAAGACGAGCTGTGACTTAAATCTTGAGCTCTCTTCTCGCTGCATCTGCGATCAGTTTGTGTCATGTGAGCAACAGTTGAAGAGCTCTCTCTATTTTCTCTTTCTAACTTTTACAAATGTGGCAATAAAGTAAGCATGTAGCACTATGATGACAGAATGAACCTTTACCAAAAATATGATGATAGATACTGTCGATAGTGGGGATGCACCGATACTGATACTGGTATTGAATATAAACACCAATCCATGAAAATTTGTTGGATGGGATATCGGCTTCAAAATATTGGTTCTGGTGAGATCCTGGTTGGTAAGGATATGACAAGATCTCATGCCACATCATCACGCAAGACAAAATTATCACAAGACTGCACACAAGTAATAAAAATAATCTTGTGAGACACTTTTCCATATTTGGATAAAAAAGGTTAACTTAGGTGAATCACTCTTCTTGAGAAGCTCTAATACCAAAAAGCAGTGCTCCAATGACACCAAAACTGTAAAATTAAACACATAAAAACATTGTGAAGCCAAAATTGTGAACTGAATGACACAATTTATTTATTAAAATTGTATCAAAATCTCTTTTCGTCTCGGTTTCATGAGCTGAATCTCGTGACATGTGTCATCTCGTAGAAATTGTGTTTCGTCCCATCCCTACTGGTTGGGTATATGAGCTGATGTAGTAAGACATTACTTGTCGTAGTTGGCTCAAAGTCTCATAATGTTTGGCCTTTTAATACAAAATGGTTCTGAAGTTAATTGTTCTGAAGAATAAATGCTACAATATCACATTTTGTCATAGAATCATTTTGTTCTTAGTCTCTGCCCAGGTATCAGTTGATATCGTTTTTGGGCAGATAAAGCCATAGTGTCGGAACTGAAAAAGCTGGATCAGTGCATCCCTGATGGACAAATATTTTATTAATCCCCAAGGAACTTTAAATATATATAAATAGATGTATACAGCACTAGCCTTACCTAATCAGTACAACTCTGAGGACTGTACCACACAGAGGCTGGAGCTTGATATCAGACAGACTTTGGTCGAAACCGTGACTGATTTTCAGACTGTGTGACTTTCAGTTCCTCAAGGTTGTGAAGTGACATACAAAACTCTTACAAGACGAAAAAATTATATAGATATTGTGTAATAGAAATCGGATATGACCCAGCCCTTATCTTTTCTTGGCCCTCATATTTATTTCCACAGCTCGGTTTTGCAGATCTGAACTTGGCAGAATTCGCCGGTTCCGGAAACACAACGCGCAGATGTCTCCTGGAGGGATACGACACGAAAAACACCAGACAGGACAACTCCATTCTGAAGGTAACGCCACTGCAACGCCACTCTGCTGTTGTGAATACAAACCTGATATTTACCCTCCTGTAGACGCAAACTGAGGGAGGGTCAGTGTAAACATGAGGAACTACTATGGACATGGAAGGGGGGGTCATAGAAAGGTCATAGATGAGAGAGAAAAGGACAGAGGGGTCAAGGAGGAGAGAGAGATAAAAGACAAATGCACAGAAATGTCTAAACAATAGGGGTGTAATGATATCCATGTCTCACAATTCAATATCGACATGGTATGAACCTCACGGTACGATATTTATTGTGATATCGTGTGAAAGCTCACGATATGGTGGGGAAGCTCACGATTAGGGATGGAACAATATCCAAATCTCTTGTTCACAATATACATCTCAATATTAATTGAGATGTAATTGAGATAACAATATTTATTGCGATAATCTGTGGAGGCTAAACATCTTAAACTGTTAATCTGCTACTTTTTCTCTTAACATGCCTTGACAAGACTTAATCCAAAGAACTAAGACTTAAAAGTGTTTAGAACTGTTATTTCTTCATGTAGTCTACACTGAAATGGCGCAAAGGATCATGGTCTATGTAGTTCCCTATGTCTATTTTTTTAGCTATTGTTGCCCCATAACTCTTAAATTTAGCCAAGAGACTTGTAATATAATATATTGCGATCGTCCGTGATATTATTGTGAGAACTTTGACATTACACTATTATAATATTTTGGTTATTGTTACATCCCTACTAAACAATGATTCAAAGTAAGTGTTCTTTTTATTTTGATTTGTGCCTGCATGATTACATTCTGCATTAATTTGTTCCAGATGCTAGAAGTTTTTACCTTGCCATTCTTTTTATGGAAAGAACAAGAAAGTCGGACAAAGTGAGAGAATGTAGCTTTTAGAAACAATGGAAAAAGCCTGTACAGAAAAACTAAAATGTGGCTGTTTGCTGCTGGTGTTCCAATCAGCGAGAACAGGTAGAGGGTGCTCTTGGAAAAAAGAATCAAAACTTTGGACATAACAACATCCAGGCACTCCAAAAAAGTAAAAGTCACACAGCGAAAGCCAACATGAACGGAAAAAGCCTTTTGTTTTTATGCCTTCTACAAATGGATTAACTTACCAAGACTTGTACTATTTGAGTTGTTAGTTCTCTTTCAGATCTGAAGTTCACACAGACAGAGACCGCTGCTTCTGTTCTCTGTGTTCAGTCTTTTCTCCGTCACAGACAAAACAGCTCCAGTGTTAAAGCAGAACAGAAAACTCTGCTGTGTTTTCTCATTGTTAAAAGTCCTGCTCTCTCTGTCCATAGGCTTCAAAATAATAAAAACTTGAACACTGCGGTAGTGAATCACAGTTTAAAACAATGAATGTGGAAAAGCCATGTAATGTATAAGTAAAATCTAACAGGAAGCTTAAACTCATGAGTGGATTTCAGTTATTCCTCATTGTTTAAACTGGTTTTGTTTTCGCAGGTGATCATCAGCACACAGCTCATGTCGGGGGATCCCTGTTTTAAAACGTAAGTCTCAGTCAGATAAAAGTGTATTTAAATTGAAAGTGCAAATGCATAAAACTCTTAACTACTCTAAATACCAGTGAATTCAAATAAAACCTGGTCTGTATCCTTTAGAATTTTAGTTCAAAATATAAATAAAAAAGATCATGCAACTCAGAACAAAACTATGGCCACACAATGTTTATCAAATTTAATCAAATCACCATCCATATATATTACACAAAATTAACTCTTGTGAGCTTTAAAGGGACAGTCTGGAATTTTAGACATAGGACCTGATAGTTTTGCCTCGAATGTCCCACATAGGAGTGTTGGAGACGTATGGAGACACTTTTTGTAATATTCCATCCAGTCCTTGTATTTGCAGAGGTCACTGGTGTTAGACTAGTGCATGTCAATGGTCATAGTTATCCTGCCACTAAAAACAGTCTTACCCACACCACAAAACACCGGAAGAAAAACTGTTATTACAACAGACTGTCGATGTAAATATCCATGTTGACAGAATAATTTTAGAAGTAAAACCAACCTTGCATTTGAAGGATTTCTGTCTGAGCAGCAGCAGTGAGTTGTACTTCCTGATCGAAAGCTCTGCAGCGGCAGACTGATATCATCTAGCACCTATCTTACTGGCAAAGCAAAATTCCACTGCTGCTGATAAAATAGTCCCTCAACATGTGAAGATTCACACGATGCAAGGTTAGGTTTATTTCAAACATTATTCTATCAACACAGACATTTACATGGACAGTCTGGTGTAATAATAGATTTGTTTGGGGTGTTTTGTGGAGTGGGTAAGACTGTTTTTAGTGGCAGGATAACTATGACCATTGACATGCACTAGTCTAACACCAGTGACCTCTGCAAATACAAGGACTGGATGGAATATTTCAAAAAGTGTCTCCACACGTCTCCAACACTCTGGCTCACTAGGAAATGAGGTCCTATGTCCAAAATTACAAGCTGTCCCATTAAGTCATGTTAGGATGTTGTTACCTTCTCACAAACAGACCTGGAATTGTGTTTTGTTTCATTCACACATGTTTAAGTAATCCTGCGTCATTAGTCTGTCTACATCTTCAAAGCTCAAAACGCTCTGTTCCACCTTGTGATGTCATGAAGCGGGAATTTTTAAAGTTCTGCATTTTTGTTCAGTTGAGATTGTAAATTCCGGGCCTGAAATTACCCAAATGATTCTTGTGAAGGAGTATGAAGTTTAAAAAAACACAGTGAAGCACTTCCTGTATTACGACATGACATCACAAGGTGGAATAGAGCATTTTCAGTTTGAGAGAAGAACTCAGCCTAAATCTGCAGGGTTTGGTGTGAATGAATGAAACAAAACACAACTCCAGGTCTGTTTGTGATGAGGAAACAACATTAGAACATAGATCAGAAAATATGGGCCCTTTAATTTAAATACGCAGTCTCACTTTCACTGTCACAGTTTTTAAAGAGTAGAAAAGCGTTGTTCTAAATTCAGAAGTCTTTTTACTCTGAGGCCAAGTGTGACCCAGAAATGATTCACCGACTGTGGCCTGTTTTTTTTCTGCCAAATCTGACTCATTTTTATTTTATTTAAATGCCAAAGTCCCACAGGCGCTGCCTCCTCTCGAGCCCAAATGCACTGCTCTTTTGTACTAAACAGGGTCAGCAGACAGTCCAATTTAAGGCACACATTCTACGTGGAATCCATTAAAGTCCAGAGTGGAATATAATATCAAATCTTGGCCTAGTTTGTTACAGTTCTAGTCTGGTTTTGTTCTGGTTTAGTCCTGGGCTAGTTCTGGTCTATACGTGGTTTAGTTGTGGTCTAGGCCAGGGTTAGGTCTGGTTTAGTCCTGCTTTAGTTCTAGTCTAGTCTTGGTTTAATTCTGGTCTTGTAGTCCTGGTTTAGGTCTGGTTTAGTCCTGCTTTAGTTTGGGTCTAGTCTTGGACTTCTCTGAAAAGTTTAAACACGAACTGTCTCCAATGCAACACACGCACAGAACAGACACCATCAGCCGCAACATCCTTTGTCGCAGAAAAAACATATATTCCACTGAAAAAAAACATATATTCCACTGAAAAAAACATATATTCCACTGAGTCGTGTCCTTTAGTCACATGACAGAAGCTAAACCGTGTCAGCAGCACAAGAAGCGAGCTGTTTTATCAGCGTTTAAAGTTCATGCAAATTAGCCACGTGGTTTTAAGATTTGTTTCTGTAAAACGTAAAGAAATGTGGCCTCAAGCCAAAATGCTGCCAAATTTCAGAAGTGCTAGTATTTTTGGGGGGGACCAACTCACTTGCGACCGGACATGCCGTCTTGTCTTGGTCTCCCTTATGAACGTCACATGACAACGGAACGAAATTTATTGAACGTCGTTTCCCCACACAGTTAAAAGAAACATTATAGACACTATTAGTTTTAAATCTTGATAACATTAATTTGAAAATACAACCACACATTAATTTGTGCTGAACAAATTTAGAAATCACTAAATGATAATATTAGGTTCTTATGCGCTGCAGATTTTTTTAATGATGGTAATGAAACTGATACCGTTGCTATTTTTTGATACCGCGGTACACCGTAATACCATATTACCGCCCAACCCTAGTCCTGGTTTAGGTCTGGTCTAGTCCTAGTTTAGTTGGGGTCTAGTCTTGGTTTAGTTCTGGTTTACGTAAGGGTTTAATTTAATTTTAGTCCCAATTTTGTCTTTAGAATCTGAAATCTTCCAGAAAGCTGCAAAAATATTCATTAAATTGTGGTGCATTGTAATCTTTCAAATAAAGATATCAGGTTATATTTCTGCACTGTTGTGTTTAAAACCACAGTATGTAACTTTTATGCAGAAAAGTTGTGCAGTGCACCTTTTAAAAAGAGTGAAACACACCATGTTTTAAGAGTTTCATATCGTCTTCCAGGCCCCCGTCCACAGCCACAGTGGTGGGTCTGCAGAGTGAAGGGGAGGGTCTGCTGGAGGAACGGAAAGGAGGAGACTCCCAGAAATCCTCAGGTGAGACCAAACATTTCCTGGGGGTGTGATGCTAACTGTTGGCACAGCTCTGTCTGAGGCTTTGTTAGACGTTATTCTGAGATTGATTTTAACACAATCTGACCAACAACTGACTTAGCTGGAATTAGAACAGGCGATTCTTACACATAAAATTAGTCACAAGTTAGCAAGCACTAGCCAACAGTTTTTCAGTCACTCTGTTTTTGTTGCAAATCAAACTCTGGAGGACTGAGCACTCGTATTGACCACAGGCTCCTGAAAATGTGTTGTTTTTGACAGTTGCCATATTTACATGAGGGCTTTAATTCCAAATAAAAATAATTAAAATCTGAATAAAAATTTTTTCTGTTTTAAAAAGAGAATGTAAACACTTAATTCTTAATGAAAATGATTATTCTGAATTATACTTAATTCTGAAGTAAGTGGGTGGTTTATTACAATTTTAAAGCCAAATACATTTTTTTCTCGATCATGTAAACGTTTATTCTTCTTAAAAATAATGTCAGTTGTTCAGTTCATGCTTGTTGTGTCGCCCTTCTGACGCGATCCGGACGATCCGGCTCCACCAGTCCTGGCTTCAGACTTTGATCCATGTCTCTTTGGATTTGTGAGCGGGATGTGGGAGTGGGCTGAGGTAGAGCAGCCTCACACTCACTTTGTCTTCTTCCTCCCTTCTCCTCCTCAGCTCACAAACGTAAAGTGTGATGAGAGATTTCTCCAGCTGCTGCGTAATTATCATCGGAACGACTGCGAGAAAAGTTTGGATCATGTTTGTGTCCGTGGCGTAGCGATAAACTGAGATGACAAAAAAGCCAATAGCAGCTGAAGTGTGTGTTTTCTTCTTTAGACGTAAATACTTTTGTGTCTCTGTCCAATCAGAACCTTTCCCACCCCCAGACGCTGAGCAGAATTAAATAAAGAGGATTTAACTTGTTTTCCATGTAAACCTCAATTCAGAAATAATATTTCAATGTGAACTTGAAGGAGAATATTTTAGTTCCGAACTATTTAATTCAGAATATTTTTTTCAGAATTAAAAAACTTCATGTAAACATGGCCAGTGTTTACTGATGTGTCTATTGTGTCACTATGATAACTCTTAACTATTCCACCATGAGAGATGCAAGTAGACAGTATAGCATTAAATCTTTTTATCTTCCTGGAGACCAAACCAGACCAAGTTACAGGTCAGATCTGTGGAGAGGCGACCCGGCTCACAGTCAAAATGTCTGTTTTTCTAAGGTACTTTTGAGCTATAAAACCACCTCTGAATTTAATAAATGTGAGGTAGAGCTGTTTAATGTCATACTGTGGAACATTCCAGGCAAAGCATTGAACATATCCATAGAAATAAACAGGTGACAGACCCCCATAGAGTCATAGAAGTTTATAATTCAACCTTCTACAGCTCAAATCTTATTGTAGTGCTGAAAAATAACCCCAGTGTCCCATTAGCACCAAGAAAAAGTACCTACTGTAAATATTGACCCCTAAATTATTGTTCCATCTGTACTGAAGGATAACTTGATATAGTATTTATTGTGACAGGCCTAATAACAGTCGTATATTTATACTGTAAAGCATCAGCTCCAGTGGCTGCTCTAAACCACGTTCTGCCTGTTCATGTGTGAATGCATCGTGTGGCGCATAAATCCTGCTGGAATCTGGAGCTCTTTCATGTATAATTTAAACTCACTCTCTCTTAGATTAGCCACAATCTGCTGTGACCCTTGGGTTGTGAGTAGATAAAAATAGAGCCCTGTGCTAGTGTGATGGGGGCAGTGCAGTGGGTAAAGAGGCCAGACTCTGCAACAGCTTTGGACCATTTTATGATTCTCTATTATTAAAACGCATGTGGGCAGTTTAGACTAGTCGTTTCACCAGAACATAGTTAGCATAATTTTATTATATTTAAGAACTGACTTTTTATTTTGGTGAAGTTTATTGTAGGCTCCAAATGAAAAATGCTTGGCTGTCACAACCTGCCAAAGCTTTTCATGGAGGACGGGACTCTAGTCGTGTCTTCGATGTCACTTACAGGCAGCTGGTTGGAACTGCTGATCTGCCCAACATAACGGAACACTTACAGTGACATTTTTATTTTTTTTATTAGACAAACTGTAATACACAAATTAATAGGCAGTTTGTAGGAAACAAGAAAGAATACAATACAATGAGATCTAGATAAAGAAAACTGTGCTATTTTCTCAGTAACTCAGACAAAATCTCTGAAAACTATCGCCAACAGAACTCAAAGGAAGTCACCATCTGCAAGTTTCCAAACGTCGTCCGGTTTTGTGACATAAGCATGAATAGAGCCCATTTTACTTTCTGGTTGGACACGGGCAACAATTGTGACATATGTAGAGGTAATTCCACATTTGGCCCCGGTCTGATGCTATAGTTTGACTTGAAACTTTTTATAGACATTTTTTCATAAAAGTTGTGTGTTGTCACGATAATAAAATTTTCATACAATTAACTTAAAGATACACCAATCCAGGATTTTAAGATACGATACAGATTTCTGAGATGTTTTACCTAGGATGTCCCACAGTTTGGCATTAAATTTAGGCTTAAATTTAGGCTTAGGGGAACTTTACTGATTCACAAAGGAAATGATTTAACATGTCTGTATTTATTGTGACAAGCAGGTGAAGCTACCAGGCCACTTACCTATTTTGCTGAAGCTTCTGCTACCTGCTTGTCTTGAAATACTATATTTTTTTCGTGGAACGTCCCACAGTATGGCATTAAACCTTTTTATCTTCATAGAGGCCAAACCAGACCAAGTTACAAGTGAAATCTGTGGAGTGGCCAACAAGCTCAGAGTCAGAATGCCCGTTATTCAAGGTATTTTTGAGCAGTACATTACATTTCTCTGTATCCATGGAGACAAGCAGGTGAAGCTACCAGGCCAAGTATTTATTTATTTAATTAGATACGATGGCTTTAAGTACCTGCCCATATCAGTGTAAGGATTGAAAATGTCATTGTTTTCCTCTCAAAATACAGTTAATTTATTACATTATTTTATTGTGTTATGTAACTGTTATTAAATACCTGTATTGAAAATTGGTGTGTCTCTAATAGGCATGTAACGATAACCGAACAATCATCAAAAATCTCACAATATTATCAGAGGCCCTCAGTATATCGAATTAAAAGTCTCTTTGCTTAAAATATTAGTTATGATGATTGCAATGCCTTTCTTATTCTGTACGAATACAAATAAACTTGGAGCAGCAATAACTTAAAAACAGAGGGAACTACATAGACCATGATACTTTAGTGATGTAAGTGCAGACTACATGAGGAAATAACTGTTATTAAGTAGTTTTAAACCTTAATTCTTCATATTATAACAGTACCAAAGGCGTTTCAAGGCTTTTAAAGGAAAGTAGCATATTCACTATTTTCTAAGTCTCCACAAAATATTGCTGAGTTTCAGATGACATCACAACATTCTATAGGCCTATAATATTTAATACAGATGGGAGGAAGCTAAAATTTACATTGTGAAAATGCAGATATTTGTTGCAATACAAGTGAGTTTTTAGGTGTAGTCATTAATAGACATGATCAGGTTCAACATTATTAGATATTAAATATTTCATAGGAAAGTGCAGTGTTATCAATAGGAAAATCTGTCTCTTGCCTCCCATCTGAGAGATGACATCATCACATTCTAGAAACAGAAAACCTCCTATTGCAGTAAATATCGAACCGTGAGATGCATATTGTGAAAATATCGTATCAAGGGATTTTGATATGGTCACATCCCTAGTCCCTAACCAAAATTTCTTTAAAAAGGACACTTATAACTAGGGCTGTGCAAAAAATCATCTTGACTTTGGTCGATCTTGATGATATGGCAAGTGCATTGTAATAGACAGGTTTCCAGTCAATCATGTGGCAGTGAGAACGCATAGTGCTGATGAGGATTTATGCTCTCTTGTTTAGGAGAAAGTAGTCAGGGCTACAGAGCGTCTGTTTCCTTAAGTTTTGACTAAAAGTCCAGTTTCTCCTCATCTCTACCTCTGTGTGCAGTGTCACTGCCCCTCCCTGTCTGATCCAGCTCCCCACATTTTCTCCTCTTTCTCTCCTCTTCTGTTTCCGATCATTATACTCCAAGGTATGGAAAGTTAATGCCTATTTTCTCACCGCTTTTGAGTGAAACTGAAGTCCTTATTTAGAGCATGGACATCACTGGTGTTTCTGTCAATATACTGTCACATGCTTTTAGGTTTAATATATTGTACAAACTCATTCCAAACTTGTAAGTTATCTCCACGCTTGTTGGTCCTATCAACACAGAATAAAACCTCTAGTGACACACTGCTCTTTATACCTGCCTATGTTTTCAATAAGATGGAAGAAGATTGAATTGAAAATTGAGATCGATCACTATGGAAAAAAAAAATCTATCATGATCCTTTTTTCCCCATATCGCCCAGCCCTACTTATAACAAAAATATAGTTTCTTTTTGTATCACCATGTGGTCTTATACTAGTGTTGATGAGACCATTCTAATGTTTTTCAGGAAAGGTTGAGTTTTCTTCAAAATTTGACAGCTTTAGCACTGCCAGTTAGTCAGAGTTAGGAGCTAGTTGAAGCTGCTTATAAGAGTTTAACAGCTACTTCCTGCATTTGTGGTATGAAAATCAGGTACTTTCAGTTCTGATATGAGTCAGTGCACTGGACGAGCAGCGCGTGTCTTTTGCAGCCGCATGAGTTTGTGGTGACAGCTTCTGTTTGGTTTCTCACATCCCTTTTGTTCATCTTCTGTTGCCACGGAGACGACGTCAACCGATTCTGAGGCCGTGCATTTATTTCCTCGGCGACAGAAAAGTGTATCTATTCATGTGATAATGACTGTCTATGCAAATGCTCTCCGTGTTAAAGGTGCATTATGTAACTTTTCTGATGAGGGTCTGCCATCTGCTTGTCTCCATGGTGACGTTACAGCATTTCAAAACCACTGATAATCTAGAGTGACATGATGCTGAAGGGTTTCTGTTTTGCATGTCTACAGTGGATATGTTCAGCAGTTACCATGGTGACACAATGGACACATTTGCAAACACTGCTAAAACAATTAAAATGGTCTTAAAATTATTTAAAAATATAATTTAAACAGTTCATTTTCAGAGCCTGTGATCAGTATGAGAGTTCATGGTTATCTTTAACAGTTTGATTTTCAAGAAAAAGTGACAAAAAAAACTGAATCTTGCTGTGTTAAAACTCTTAACTCTAAAAGTAAAAGATACGGTGAAAATAAAAAGTATATAAAATAAGTATATAGTATAATAAGTATATAAAAAAAGAAAAATGAAATTATAAATGGGGCATAGCAGTAGGGTTATGCTGCACTATTAGGTACATTACTTTTATTTTTATTTAGTTAAATTTGTGTGTGTGTATTTTGAGGGAAGAAGTGAGTTAGGGGTGGTTGTTTTGTTGTTCATTTTAGGTATTGTTTTAGGTATTTGTGTCTTGTTTTCATATTTATTTTTGTATTTTGTTCAATGTTATATCCTATTGTAATTTTAAAAAAGACTCAAACTTGAGTAGCAGTGCTTCAGACAGAGCAGTGCCTCTAGTTAGACTCACAGACTGACATTGATATTTTCTGTTAAATGTCTTTGCTTACGTTTGACTCTTGCAGAAAGTCGAGAGGGGAAATGTCCAGTTTCTGAAGATTTGGGAGGATGTGGTCACTCTCGGACCTCCAGCTACGCCAGCCAGCAGTCCAAAGTCTCAGGTAAGATTTGTGTGTTATCAGATGACTTTTTCTTTTGCTGTGGAACCTACCTGGACCTCTGAGGGATTACGAAGATATATGTTCAAGAATTTAAAATCTTTATGAAATATTACTGCTAGAGGTGGGAGATGTTTTGCTACATTTGAGTAATACTAGCCAATATCTAACATCCAGCTCCATTTTCTAAAGTTCTCTAATGTTTGCAGGATTTTGGGGCTTGATTTATTTTACTTGTGGTCCAATATATTTTTGGTGCATATTTGCCAAGCTTAACCTTAGATTTAAAGAAGGCGTTTAAAAAAAAATCTTTCTACCATGTTATATCATTGAGCCCTCATCAAAAACATGCCTGTAGAGGTTTTAGATGCATGTTTGAGTAATTTAGTGATCTCTACCAGGCCCTATTCAAACCCTCCTTACTGCTAGTTTAAATTTCTATGCTCAGCCCACAAGCCTACGTCAACATTGCTCCTACATGATAATCCTCCATAAATACATAAAAACATGACACAAAACTTCACAAACCTGATGCAATGTGCAGTAGTTTCATTAGCAGAACACATGCTGATTGTGTTGTGATATCGAAAGCAGTGGTTATTTTGAGATACAAATGGTACAGTATGTTAATAATCATCAAAACAAGGGATGCCAGGATACCGATACTGGTAGGGAGGCTATGATACGTTGCATTTTTCGATATGGTTCAGTGAACAAGAAAGGCTAAATCATGGCTGGGATGCTAAAAGATACTAAGTACATTAAGTCTGTGCAAAGTTTACATGAAAAATTTAAATTTTACTCATCAAAGCTGTGAAAATGTCAACACAATTGTAGTAATTTAGTAAAATGTACTTAAAAATACTCTTGGCAATGTATCTATACAGCTGCCCACAATATCAATACTGTATCATCAAATTAAATGATACGATATATCAATATTTCTATTATTATTATTTCTATTTGCTGGATTGGGTATAATTCCATGATATTGGTTCAGTCGATATCCTGGTTGACTATTTACAAACTCATAATGTAATTGGTGTTATTCATACAAAGCAGTTCAGTGATTTGAAGGATTATTAACACTTGCATAACACATTTAGATCTCTCTAATCTCTCTCATCCCTAATAAATATGATTTAAAAAATGTGCAAAATGGGCAGAAAAAAAAATCATCACAAAAACAGAACTGTGAAATTTTTTTATATGAACATTTTAATTATTTTCAGTATGAACATCCACCCTAGAGTCTTGTGATTTTCAGCTCAAATGATGCTTCACTGGGGGGTTCTGTATGGCTATGGTGGGTATGTTCAGCAGTTACCATGGTGATACAGTGCGCACATCGTCTCCTAATGTTTGCACTTTTAATCATGCAAAGCGGTTCAGTAGTGCAGTAGTGATTTGAAGGATAAATAACACTTGCATAACACGTTTGGATCTCCCTCATCCCAATAAAAATATTTAAAAGCCAGCAAAATGGGCAGACAAAAAAAAAAAAACAACAAAAACAAAACTGTGAAATCTTTTAATTCTTCTCAGCATTCACCACCACCCTAAAGTCTTGTGATTTTCAGCTGCTCTCGCCCCCGTGGTGATGGATGGCACTGAGTGAAAGTGGGAAGTGTTCTGCTAAAAGGAGCAAAGTGAAAGTGTGTCTGATTGATCGCGTTTCCATTTGTGTCGGATCAGATGACCGTAATCAAAGATGGAAGTGCAGCCTGATACGCCTCACAATGATAAAGCAAAGTGAAGCCGCGCTCTCTCTTCCTGTGGTTTAAAGGGTATTAAAGGGCACTATGTAACTTCTGTTCTGCTGACGGGTCTGCCACCTTCTTGACTCTAGATTTTTTGCCTGGAATGTTCCACAGTATGGCATTTCAGTTATCTGTATCCACGGAGAAAGGCAGCTGACACTACCAGGCCAAGTATTTATTAAAAGTATTTATTATTTTTTTATTGTTTTTATTTGTTTCACTTTTGTTTTTGTCACTCCCCCTTTACTTAAAAAAGGCTTTTTTTAGGTTTAAAATTTTACTTCTTGTTTGGAAATCTGGACATCACCCTCCTTTTACCTGGAATGTTCCACAGTATGGCATTAAACATATCTATATTTACTGAGACGAGCAGGTGAAGCTACCACCCAGTTCTGTATCTTGTTGAGGGGTCTGCTACCTGCTTGTCTCCATGGAATGTTCCACAGTATGGCATTGCAGGTATCTATATCCATAGAGACAAGAAGGTGACAAAACCAAGCCAAGTATTTATTAAAAGTATTTATTCAATTAGTTTTTTTTTAAGTCCCTGAAATGCCTTGAAAAACAGGCTTGCCTCTTCGCAGATCTGACCTCTAACTTGGTCTAGTGGTGCTACAACCTTGTCTCCATGGAGATAAAGTTAAATGCCATACTGCTGAACATTCCAAACAGGAATGGAGAATGGAGAATGGAGGAATGTCCATGGAGACAAAAAGATGGCAGACCCTCCACCAGAAAAGTGACATAGTACATCTGTAACAGAAGGTCTCAGCTTAAACTTTTATTTTCTTCACATTGACATATTTAAATCAACATATTCGCCTAAAACAATGTATTGACATGTTTTATAAATTTAACTTTCCTCCCCCCTCTTCTTACTCTCCACTCTAAGTCACTCCCCCTTCAGAGCTCCATCACAACACAGTCACAGTACAACGCTGTCTTGTTTTGTGTCTCGCTTTTGTATATTTATGAAGAATCGTTGTGTGGAAGCAACATGGATCTAAGCAACGATGACATAGGCTAGTGGGTTTGTGGGCGGAGCCTTGTACAGGATCATAATGTAATGATATAATGAATCAGTTGTAAGGAGGGTTTGAATAGGGCCTGGGAGAGATCACTGAATTAGTCAAACATGCACGGATGACATCTAAAACCTCTTCAGGCGTGTTTTTGATGAGGGAACAGCGTTATAACATGGTACAAAGCTCCAAAAAGTCAAATCAGCATAATAAACCCTCTTTAAATATAAAATAAACCAGTATATGAATAAATATAGGAATGAATTGATAAAACGCATGAATATTTGAATGGTTGCATTTTAATCAGCTCTTCATCATCGTTAAAGCACTAAAAGCTCAACAACATTAATAATGAATATTGTATGAAGGATATTAGCTGTTCAGAGCCAGTCATATAGATGTAGTTTTTATAGCAGCAGTTTTATAAATAATTCATTAGTGATAAACACATGGGCCTCTAATGTAAAAGGCTTATTAGATCAGAATAATGGGGCTCGTGTTACAGAAGCAGGTCGTGGTCTGAGCTGCATTAAGACGTGGTTATGTTAGTTTTAAATGCACGTTTAAATCAGCACATGAGTGAGAGTTGACATAGTTAAAGGGTCTATATTGTTTGAGTAACCCTTTATTATTATTCTGTCTACATCTCGAACGCTCAAAATGCTCTCTTTTACATTGTGATGTCATGAAGTGGTAGTTTTCACGTTAACAGCAACATTTTACCTTCAGTTCAGTAGAGATTGACAATTCCAGGTCTGAAATTATCCAATGATTCTAGTGAAGGTGTATGGAGTTAAAACAAAGTGGAGCACTTCCTGTATTACCACATGACATCACAAGGTGGAACAGTGTTTCAGTTTGAGAGAAGAACTCTGTTAAAAACGTGTGAATATCTAGAATAGACGTGGGCATTGTAGAGCACCCAGACCACATTCAGCCCTTTGGTTGACTCTGACCGGCCCATTTAAGCTCATTTAGAAACATGTTTTAGAATTTTACCTCATGCATGTACTAAAGCTGCATTGCTTTTATTTTAGATGGGGTTTTTTGTTGTTTGTTTGTTTGTTTGTTTTTATTTTAGAAGTGACATTTTTGTAAGGCAACCTCACTTTTTCATTGCTTAATCATAACAAACTCTTCCCAGTCGAAACAATGAAATTTACTGCTTTTTATAAAGAAATAAAATTCATATTATCCAGAATTAAGTGAAGCATTTTGGCCTCCACAATATTTTCTGTTTCTCATGTGGCCCTATGGAAAAAAATAATTGCCCACTAGAAGGAAGTATTTTGTTGAAATTGGAAACAGTGTCTCAGATCACATGGGCTTGACCTGTGGGGTGCCCCAGGGGTTGATCCTGGGACCCCTGCAGGTTGTCCCAGCTGGGAAGGGACAAATTTGCCAGCAGTGACAATAGAACTCAGACAAGACTGAAGTCATCGTCTTTGGCCCACAGAAACAAAGTGTCCAGTCTCTCTCTCTAAAATGTTCCAATCAGGTTAAGATATGGACTTGGACATGAGCAGCCACAGTATAAATCTTTAACCCTCGTGTCTTTTGTCCCTTGCAGGCTACAGTACGGGCCACTCGCGCTCCTCCAGTATTACGGAGTTCAGCCATCGCAGGAACCACTCCATCGGCAGCACGTCCACCGGGATCGGCAGCATCCCGGAGCCCAGTGAGGAACGGGAAAACCGAACGTGCCCAGTTTTACCAGAGCACCCGAGTGCATCACCGCCCAACAGCACCGCCAGCTCCTCCCCCGTCCGGAGCACGTCGTCATGTGAACGCCTCAACAGGTCAGGCTGTGATACTGATTTGCAGTGACATCATGCTGGGGGTGTGATACATGTATCTCTGGAATATTCAGCAGTTGCTCTAGTGACACAAAGCACACATTACCAAACGCTGTCTTAAAAGTTTTAAGCTCTGAAAACTCAAAGTGTGAACAATACAAGTATTCATGGTTCTGTTTAGGTGTTTGATTTAGAACAAAAAAGGTGAGAGAGACTAACTGAAAAACTGTTTGCTAATGCTTACCTGTTGTAGTTCCAACCAAGTCATTTTATTGGTGTTAAAATAAAGATAAGATTAAATCTAACTTGCGTAACAGTTGACAGATGACATCAGTTGCTGGTTTTCAGATAACATCACAACATTCTAATATTGAATACAGATGAGTGCAGCTAAAATAATTAATAAAATGTGGATTTTGTTAATGAAGTTTTGTTAATCACTAATATAAATGACCAAGTTAAACAATGGCCAAGTTTACAAGATGTTTTAAATTCCAGATTCATTCTTCTGAATAAAATAGTTTGGAATTAAAATATTCTCCTTCGAGTTTACATGGAAATAATAATTCTGAATTGAGGTTTACGTGAAAAACACGTTAAATCACCTTTATTTAATTTTGCTCAACGTATGGGCATCGGGAAGGGTTCTGACTGGACAGCGGCGCACAAACGTATCCAAAGAGCAGTGGATGAAAGTCCGAAGCCAGGACTGGTGGAGCCAGATCGTCGATTGTGTCAGAAGGGCGACCCAACGAGCTGAACAACCAGAATTATTTTTAAGAAGAATAAACGTTTACATGAGCGAGGAGTAAACTAATTCGGCTTTAAAATCAGAATAAACCACCCACTTACTTTATTTATTTAATTCTGAATAATCATTTTCATTAGGAATTAAGTGTTTACACGGTCTTTTTAAAGTGGAATAAATTTTTATACAGAATTAAATGATTTTTTAAACAGAATTAAAGCTCTCATGTAAACGTGGCAATTCTAAGTTCTCTAGCTCTAATATAGGACAATAGTCTTTTTTTTAAAGGTGTTACTTGGCTTTGGAATGTTTCACTGTATCCTATTAGACTCATCTATCCACGTTTTATTCACTGGTGAAGTTATGTATTGCCAAATATATTTTTTGCCTTCTGTCAGAGCAGCCTTTGGTCCATCTGGGCATTAATCTAGTTTTAAAGCAGCAGTAATACCAGAGTGAAAACACATGAGGGTGGTTAGATTACAAGAGTAATGTGTCTCAGGTTACATAAGTGGGCCATTGTTTGCTCATGATTCCTGCGTTCAGATGTGGTTCTGTGTTCTGTGTTTCAAATGCACTGTGAGCTCTGCGGGGGTACAGCTGACGTTATAAATCACACGCTCTGTAACTTTCTTTCTTCTAACTTTCTTTTTACCTCTGCTGTGTTAATGGAGTCATGTGAATAAGAGCTATGATTATCTAGGACAGCTGATACTTTGCAGCTGATGTCATCAACATTTCCTGGAGGTGTGACGCTAACTGAAAGCACTACTCTGTCAGAAGTTCTGTCACTCAAATTAGACTTAATCTGAGCTCACACCTAAAATTACAGACACAAGTTACCTAGAATTAGCCAAGAGTTTTTCACTTAGTCATGCTCACCTTTTTGTTGAAAGTCACTCTCCTCAACAGGGCCATGAACTCTTGAGAGGAGCCACTTGAAAACCTACTTTAAATGACATCACAAGGTGGAACAGAGCATTGATTCATTTTTATTTCGAGTTTGTGTCAAGAGAGAAACAATAATCATGTATACTACATATACATTGTAAACAACAGAAAAGCACATTTCTCGAAAAGGAGTGGGAAGAAGAAAAACTTCTGCATTCTGAGCTTTGGAGTTGTAGATAAACTAATAATAAAGGGTTAATTGATTAATGTATATTTTGTGTCACCCTGGTAACTGCTGAATAAATAAAAAATTTAAAAAAATGTAGATTTTGTATTTTTTTATATACACTGACTTCTTGGAAATATAGTAGATGTATTTGCCTTTTTTCTGGATGCCTCTGAACAGAGACAGGCACCGCAAAGATACATACAAATACCCCAAAAAAAGGAATGAACTGCGTAACATTCCACCAATAGAGATGTATGTAGTGTGATGTCACTGAAACGTATTTAAAAAATATTATTGTTCCATAAAAAGTGATTAATTTGAACAAAACCAGTATTTAGAGTAAATCCTGGTGGTTTTGCCTAACAGTCTTTGTACAGTGTGTGGTCTAACCCTGTGTGCTGTTCCTCAGAATCCCCATGAAACAGGACTCCATGGAGTCTCAGTTGAAGCGAATGGACGACACACGAGTCGACGCCGATGACGTGGTCGAAAAGATCCTCCAGAGCCAAGACTTCACCCCGAGTTTAATGGACTCCAGCGCAGAGGGTGAGAGAGGGAGAGGGGGGATGCAGTGAATAAAGTACATACAGTATTTAGGGCAATTCATCGATTTAGTCCTTTCTAATGAACACGGATCAGTTTTGGTCACTTTCTAGAGGTGTCATTTATAGGGCCAGGTATCATTAAGAAGCTGCTGATACGATACTCATACCTCGATACATAGGCCGTGATACGATACGCTTTTTGATACAGTGAGCTCTTGATTCAGTATGATTTTATAAGATATATTTCACACTGATTCAATACGGTTCAGTGAAAAACAAAGGCTAAATCATGGCTGTGACACTAAAAGTCCACTAAGTTAGCTCAAAGTTAATATGAAAAACGTCCATTTTACTCAAAACAGTGAAAATGTCAACACAGTTGTAGCTCTTACTTAAATTAATATAGTAAAATATACTCTTGATGATAACGATACAGAACCCCATGATATCGATATATTATAATAGATACAATATCAATATTTTTGCACTCCCCTAGTAACCTATGGAAATAGAAAGTTAAAACCACTCCTCACTGGAACATTCTCCATGAAGACAGAACCATTTTATGCCACATTGCGTAATATTATTATATTACCAGCAGAAGGCCGTACACCAGGCCAAATAACAGTCAGCTTTGTACAGATGCAAGCCCATTCACAGGAAGGACTCAATACATTTTTCAATGCAATAAAAACGTCCAAAAATTACTCGTCTACTTATGAGCTAAAAGTTCTAGGTCTACAGCCAATCCTCTGTCAGTAAAAGCATGTGGTATGGACCAAAGTTCAGAATTTCCAAATTCTGTAAAGGGCACTGATTAAAAGTTTGCATAGTACAATCTCACACTTTCCTCACTTTGTCTCTGATGTAAATGAACAGAGCGTCTTACATTATACTGAATCAGGGCGGACATGTTGGTACTGTCCGCCCTCCTCCACACACTGGCGCTCTGCTGATGCCCAGTGTCCGCTCTCGTGTTTCCCCTGAGTCACTGTGATCTTGGAGGACATTGTTTTTCCTTCTCAAGGTCTCAGCGCTCAGAGCCAGACCACCACTGCTGTCAATACAACAGAGTATTTTTAGATCGCCTAGCAACAGACTCTCTATGACAAGTACTGCAGTCAAACCAACGTGAGTGTGTTTCCCAGCATGGCATAACATGGAAATATACAGGACAAGTCTAAATATGTGAGTCCCCACCTGTCTTCAAACGTGCATTGTGTTACTTTTCTGGGATCCATCATCTGCTTGTTTCTGTGGACATGTCATTTCTCTGCTTAGAATGTTCCACAGTATGACATTAAATAGCTTACCTTATATTTATTACTTTTTATAGTTTTATAGCTCAAAAATACCTAGAAAAACAGGTATTCTGAGTGTGAGCGGGGTCGCCTCTCCACAGATGTGACCTGTAACGTGATCTGGTTTGGTCTTCATGAAGATAGAAAGGTTTAAAGCCATACTGTGAAACATTCCAGACAAAGCAAGAACGTCTACATGGAGAAAAGCTTTTGACGGACCATCCATCAGAAAAGTTACACAATGCACCTTTAAATCTATAATGAAATAAAACACATCTGGAAAACTTAAGAATCATTTAAATCAATATTTGCAAATATAATATAATAATATAAAAAATGTGTTGCCAGTGACTGTTAAAATATGTATAAAATCTTGTTGAATGTTAAAGGTGCACTGTGTCACATTTCTGGTAGAGTGTTTGCCACCAACCTGTCTCCATGGAGATAATATTGCTTTGCTTAGTATATGGCAACGTACAGTATCTATCTCCGTGGGAAAAATTAGTAGCACCACTAGGCCAAGTTACAGGTTAGATCTGTGGAAAGGCACTGTAATTTTGTAAAGACTGGTGCTGTACTTTATTTATTTTTAACTACTTTTTGAAACAGTCAACAGTCTCTGCCATTCCCACCTCCCAACCAAACAATACATATTATACATATACATTATACATAGACATATATATATATATATACATATATATATGACCACCTGCTCTCCTACCCATCCACTTGCTCGCACACACTCATACACACACACAAATATAGTTGATCCATATAGGGCTGCACGATATGGGAAAAGAGAAAAAATAAATAAATATAAATATTTTGTTGTCTGTGGATCCACTGAAATTGCGATACCGATTCAATATATTGTGCCACCCTACCATATACACATAAATATGTATACATTAAAACATATCCATATACATGTATACATGTATTTTTAAAAAAAGAAGAGAGTATGTTCTACTTTTGAGCAATAAAAACATCTTTAATTGTATAAGATATATAAATTGAATTCCATATTGTGAAACATTCTAGACCAATCTCCATGGAGATCCGTTCAAAACAGGCCACGTCCACTCGCCCTACGCCCTAGTATTTCACAGGTTATTACGCCAACACTTTTGTAATAGTTTTTCTCTTTAACTCTGTATTTTCTGAACTCAAAACAAAACTGCACAGAAAGAAGTGTAAATAGTTGGCCCTTAACAAAGTAGTAGTGTATGTGTGTTTAACTGTATTTTTCTTTTTTTTTTTTTTTTTAATTTGCGTTTTGTCATGCTCGCTGCCATTATCATTGAGGTTGTGTTATTTTGTGTGAGGCTGTTGATCTTTACAGCAAATAAGTTCAGTACAGATGATAAAACAGTTTTTAAAGCCCCCAGAGAATCGCTGCAGTGTGATTTGTTGGTGCACATGAACACTGAACATTTTACACAAATGATACGCTTTTCTATACAAGTGATCTCTCATTTCAGTACGATTTGATACGATATATTTCACGTCGATTCGATACTGTTCAGTAAAAAAAACAAAGTCTAAATCATGGCTCTGATACTAAAAGTTTGTGCAAAGTGAATATGACAAAGGCCCATTTTACTCACCACAGTGAAAATGTCAACACAACTGTAGCTCTTACACAAATTAATTTAGTAAACTACATCTAAAAATATTCTTGGCGGTTAACAATACAGCAGTCCACGATATCGATATTGTATCAGCATATTAAATGATACGATATATAGATATTTTGATATTTTTGCACACCTCTAGTAACCTATGGAAATAGAAAGTTAAAACCACACCACACTGGAACATTCTCCATGAAGACAGAAACATTTTATGCCATACAACATTGAACATTTTACAGAAATGAACTAACTTTGTCATATTTAAGATACAAAACGTTTCCCAGATTAAGTGGGATCTCCATTTAACCGGAACGTTCCACCACAAAAAAAGCGCAGTTTAGGAGCATTTAAAGACTAAAGTTTAAATTTTTACTGTGTGTGTGTGTTCCAGAGGAGGGTCTGCGTCTGTTCGTGGGCCCAGGAGGAAGCACCGCTCTGGGGAGTCATCACCTGCCCACCAGGTCAGAACCAGGGGCACTCGAGATATTTTACATTTTATTATTTTTGTAAAAGTGAAAAAAACACTTCCCTGTCATTCGTCTCACATCTTTGTCTTTCTGCATTTTGACTCTTATTTCCAGAGTTGGCGCCGGTGCGTATGAACAGGTCGTCATGAAGCGTTAAAATCAAACCCAGGCGAACTCGGAGGAGCTCTCGTGTCTCTGCAGCACTGTGTCTCAAGTCTGTGAACCACCAAACATCGCCCCCTGGTGTTTAAACCCGCCTCATTACACTGCGGGAGCCTTGAACAACATGGAGCTTTATCATCTCAAAAACAGACCTGTGAAATGAAGTAAGGTGTAAGAATCTACTCTCAAAAACGACAAAGGATTTTTGTGAGAGATTGGACCAAGCTAAACTAAAGGACTTCATGATTCGATACATTCCTCAGTCGCTCTCTGGCAGTGACTGGTTTAAAGCTCTTGATGCTAAAAGCTGCTACTGCTGCTAAGCTGTGGTCCCTGCACTTTTTTTGAAGGACAATTTATTACATTGATTTGATACGATTGTTTAATTTACATATTATTTGTGTTTTTTAGACTTATTTTTATGTTCGTGATCATTTTAGTCATTTACCGGGAAAATGAACTAGGAGCGCGTATAGGAAAATATATTATGATTTTTCCCTTGAGTTTTAAGGATACAGTGTGGAACTATTCTGCTGGAGGGTTTGCCACCTGCTTGTCTCCATGGAGATGTCATTCCTTTGCCTGGAATGTTCCACAGTAAGACATTAAACTTATGTTGTTGCATTTATTGAATTATTTGGAAGTATTTATTGCTCAAAATTGCCTTGAAAAACATTCGGGGTTGAACGTCGCGGGGTCGCCTCTCCACAGTTCTGACCTATAAGCTGACCTGGTGGCATTTATTGCTTGTGTCCAGGTCATATCTGTGGAGAGGCGACCCCGCTCACAGTAAGAATGTATGTTTTTCAAGGCATAAAAAACCCCCAAAACAAAACATCTGTACTTGATTAAACGCAAGATAAAAAGGTTTAATTTATTTTTTTCATACTGTGGAACATTCCAGACAAAAGTAAACATCTCCATGGTAACTAGACAGTGACAGATTCTTCACTACAAAAGTTACATAGTGCTTCTTGAAACACATTTACTTTTCTTTTTAGTTGAAGATATATTTGCCTTATATTGAAACCTTTTTAATCCATAATTTTGGCCACAAACTAAAATATTGGCTTATATAAATGACAGGGCTACTTAGAATTAATCTAGTGGTTTTCGAATGAGTTGAAATGAACATGTGATATTATTTACCGATGATTCCCCCACTGTACCATCACTTTTAAAGCCAATTTAAAGACTCCTTTTTGTACAATATTCCAGCATAGTAGTATAAAATGTACTGTTTTGGTGTTCAGCTTTGGAGAAATTGAAGAGCACACTTTGACCTTTTCCTCAAATAACCATTGGACTGTTTTATTTTTATTTATATTTGAATGATTGAGAGTGATGGTCCCTACTTCTTTCATCATTTGACCTATAAGGCTTTCAATTGACTTTCCAAATCCTAGTCTATAAATTAAATCTTATAGTGTACAAACGCATCATAGTTTCAAATGTTAAAGGTAATTTTGTCAAGTAGGAATGGGCAATACGCAAAAATAATTCTAATTCTTCTAAGAGACTAAGTGATACACAAGCCATTTCGAGTGGGTGCTTGAAATTGAAAAGTATTTGAATAAAAAATGTTCTTCGTAGTACATTTTACACTTTTAAGTTTTTGAGGATAAACATTATTAAAACAATACAAACTGTAACAGCAATAACTGACCATCTACAACTAAACTAGCACCAGTAAACAGAGTGTGAGACCAAGTTTACATCGCACTATTTACAAAAACATCTTGGACCAGATTACAATTCATGTTTGGTTATTGTCTTTATATTGATACTTTGCAGTGACATCAGGCTGGAGGTGTTCTACATGAATGTCTATAGGCTTTATTCACACTTAAGTCACAAAACCAGTAGACGTTTGGAAACATGCAGATGATTCCTTTGGGCTCTGTCGACGATAGTAACTAATTTGGCAAAACTAAGAAAATGGCCCGGTTTTCTTCATCTAGATGTCATTGTATTCTTTCTTTTTTTCCTTTTATAAATTGCCTATTAATTTGTTTATTATAATTTGTCTAATTTAAACAAAAAAATTAAAAGATGTCATTGTAGCGTTGTGTTATGTTCGCTTATGACCAGCTGTAAGTGACTCTGAAAATGAGATTAGGATCCCGTCAGGTTGTGAAGACCGCTGTTGGTTTATCACAGGCCCAGTGTCATAATTACTCTGGAAGTTGTCATCTGCGTGTTTCCAAATGTCTTGCGGTAAGCGGTAATAGAGCCTATTAGCAGAATGATCATCAGTTACTATTATGGAGACACAATACACACATTTAAATACAGCCAAAAAAGCTTTAAGAATGTCTGAAAACTTAAAATTACAAAATGGATTCAAACAACACGTTTTCAGGAGTCTGTGCTCAGTACGAGTGTTCATGGTCTTGTTTGAGTTTGATTTTCAACAAAAAGGTGCGAGCGACAAACTGAAAAACTATTGGTTAATGCTAGTTAACTTGTGACTGTAATGTTCTTTAAAAGAGCCCAGTTTAACAACACAAATCCTCTCATCTGTTAGCTAAAACTATTCAGATTGTGTTAAATTAAAGTTCAGATTAAATTCTGATAGAGCTTCAGACAGAGCATGCCTACAGTTAGCATCACTCCCCCAGGGAACGTTACTGACATCAGGTGCAAAGTATTTATTCTCTTTAAAAGGTAACTAGCGCCATCTACTGCTTAAGAGCTCACACTTCGCCACAACTGGTTAAAGCTGCTTTTAAATCACTTAAAGGGTGACCGATAGGCTCTATTCAAGCTTATGTCAGAGGTCTAAGCTGGACAGAATTTTCAGTCCCGCTCCTGTCAGCATCTGTGATATTTTGTCCTGCAAATCCCGCAAGATGGGGACGTTCGTTTGCTTAAGCTCTAAACACAGAGAAGTGGAAAGGATTTGTCTAAAATGTACGCGAGATTAGACCACATCCGCAAGTTTAGGCTGCTTAAAATGTTTTACGTTACAAACCAGGAAGACGTTTGGAAACATGCGATGACATCTTCCGGTGTAGTTCCCGACACTGGACTGAAAACCCAAACCCACTGAAGTAAATGTGATCGTTGGTAAAATGGAGACTGCAGACGTATGTGCTGTTTGGAATCATCTGGAATTTGGCGCCTCATCTCTTCTAATCACATGTACCCAAAGCGCTCGGAGTTGTGCGTCAGTGAAATTATGAAAACTGAGGTGTGGTTGGAATTGTTGATGAACCGAACATAACAGAACACTACAATGACATAGAGATGAACAAAACTGGGACATTTTCTCATTTTTCCTAGATTTTATCAGACTTCCTACCTTGAACAAAGCTGTTGGAAATCGTCATCGCATGTTCCCGAAAGTCTTCCTGGTTTGTGACATAAGCGTGAACAGAGCTTATTGAAGAGTCGGTGGGGAAAAGCACGGAAAACTCACAAATATTGCGTCTTTTTCTCGAACCGTGCAGGCCTGTACTGAATCACCGTAGAAGAAATTTGTCAGAGGAATCAGATGAGAAGTCGATTTTTATCTCCGTATTGCCCAACCCTACTGGCCGCACAACATCTCCTTCACTTTTGACCACATATCTGATGTTCTCGACTGTTCTTTTCAGTTTGGGGACTGTACAAAGGTTATTGCACTGCCAATGTAGAAATAGTGGCTTCTTTATGTAAACAGCTGGTCTGTTCATATCGATAGTACGAGATACGCCAGATATTTAACTAGAAAATAAAAGCTGTCTAACGCCACATTATAGCAGCTCAGTACTCACCAGCCTTTTAGCTTTTAGTCATTCCTAAACATGGTAATCAATTTAGAAGTTCAGACTGATTTTGTGGGGAAAAATTGACATGTTAACGGAGCTGTACCAGATTTTTCTTGTCGTAAACTAATTCATTTAAAACAGTTAGAGTTATTCCTCATTTGCTTTATGCATTCAGAGCGTCCTAATTACCGTATTTTCCAGGCTATGAGGCGCTCTTAAGCCTCCAACCCCATCAAAAAACGACTGTGCCAGAGCGCCCTATACACAAATCCACTCGGGTGTCCCAGCACGACTTCAGTAAACTACAAAGCCGCACCACCCGCAGAACACACAAACACACACGGAGCAGACAGCGACCGCGCGGCGACAAACACCAGCAGACACACTCCCAGTCACTGCGAACATGACAAACAAAGTCCCACTGACCCATCCAACTGTTGTGTTTCATTTAAAGTCCTTTGCGGTTTATTTGTGAAAAAAAGTTCAAAAATAGACCATTCTATGACCGTGCACCTTATAATCCAGAGTGCCTAATAGCCTGGAAAGTACGGTATTCACCACGATGAGTTTATACCGTATTTTCCAGGCTATTGGACAATGGACACAATCCAGAGCACCCTATACATGAATCCACTCGGGTGTTCCATCACGACTTCAGTAAACTACAAAGCAGCAGTACACGCAAACACACACAGACAGCGACCGCGCAGCAAAAAACACCCACAGACACACTCATCACTCCACGACGAGGAACGGAACAGAGGAACGAACCGAAAAAGCGAGTGCAATGTGCCACTTCTAGACACAACTGAACAACTGAGTCACTGTGAACACGCCGACAATCCGTTGGTCCCAGACAGCACCCTCCCTACACGCCACAACTGAACAAAGCCCAGAGTCACCGTGAACGCCACAAACAAACAAAACCACTCACCCATCACACTGTTGTGTTTCCTTTAAAGTCCGGTGTGGTTTATTTGTGAAAAAAGTTCGAAAATAGACCATTTAATGACATTTTATAATCCAGAGCGCCTAATAGCCCGGAAAATACGGCATTCACCATGATGACTTTATAAGTGCTTTTTAGAGACGGTAACACTAACAACTATACGATATATCTGTACTGGGGCAAGACAAAATGCTCAAATACATGGAAAAAAAATCTGGTACAGGGTCTTTAAGTATAATGTTTTTCTGTCTCTTACACAATATAAAGTTCAAATGTTTAATTTCAGTTACATTGGTCCCTTATCTGAGATTACAATGTCATCAAATTCTACAATGTGAACACAACTCATTTAAAGTGCATATGACAGGTTTTCATGTTTGTTTGTTTTTATCGAATTATTTGTTGAGTTAATACCTGTGATCAATACGTATCGTTGTTTTTACAGTAGTTAAAGGTGCATTGTGTAACTTTTCTAGTGGAGGTTCTGTTTATCTTCATGGAAACTAAACCAGACCATGTTAAAAGTCAGATCTGTGGAGAGGCAACCCCGCTCACAGTCAGAATGTCTGTTTTTCTAGGTATTTTTGAGCTATAAAACCACCTATCATTGAATAAGCGTAAAGTAGAGCTGTTTAATGTTATACTGCGGAACATTCCAGGCACAGCAAGGGCATCTCCATAGAAACAAGCAACTGAAAAGTCACATAGTGCACCTTTTAAGTGGCAGTTTTTGCAGAAAAGTTGTGTTGAAAAAGTTGAAAATTATAGGACGTTCTGAAAAGGAATCAGTCCATCTTTGTCAACAATACACAAAATTCCATCTGAAATTCAGAGACAATTTTATTTTTTGGAAAATTTAAACCTTTATTTAACAAAATAAAGCTGTTGTAATTTATTTTTCTTTATCTAATCAGAATTATGTAATTTCGACACGTTTTGACCCTTGTTTACATCATGGTTTCTCGGTATAAGTTACAAAATTACCTTACATACTTTACATTTCCTCATCTTTAACATTTTCTGCTAGACTTTAAGTAACTCCGTTTGAGTAAAATGCATAGTGTAACCTGTCATTTGCACTTTAAACTTTTTGAAAACTAAAATCCAAATGAGTAGTACTGAACGAGTGGTGAGTTTTATTACAAAGATGAGCTGAAGTTGCGTGTACCATTTTGTTGTAAGCCATAGTAGAGGCAGAGCTCCTCACAACTGTGCACAGATATGTCTCTGTTTGCATGCTAGTGTCTGTCTGTCAGCTGGTAAATAGACTTCATCATATTTAGGGCTGGGTACTGTTAATACTGCTACTGATTAATGCTGTAACAATACTAGAATTTTGAAGCTATAATACCTATTTCGATACTAAAAAATGACAATATGATGTAATTTTCCACACAGCGTAATCATTTTTGTTACTATTTGTTCTTATACTAGTTCTGACACAGATCAAGATCATTCTTAAAGGTGCATTGTGTAACTTTTCGGGTCCAGGGTGGAGATGGTATTACTTTGTCCGAAATGTTTCACAGCTGCCGCGTTTACATGAGAGCTTTAATTCCAAATAAAAATGAATTCCACTGTAAAAAGAGCATGTAAACACTTAATTCCTAATGAAAAGGTTTATTCGGAATTCAGAACAATTAATTTGGAATTAAAAATCATCATGTAAACGTGAATAGTGTGGCATTAAACTTATCCATCTTACATTTGTTCAAGTATGGACATTTTTATTGCTCAAAGAATGTTCACATCTACAGTGAGCGGGGCCATCCTCTACACAGATCTGACTGGTGTGGTATAGGATTTTGACCCTGGGGTCAGAATCCTATTATTATGGTATATTGACCCCCCTGAAAATCTATATTTTACTAATAAAGTTTAAAATTCTATAGAAAAACTTTGAATATTAATACTATATCTGCAAATTAAAACATACTGACATATTTAAAAGCGTTTTTTGAAGAAGTCAGATGCATTTTTTTTATGTCGATTATAACTTTTGAATGTTAAAAATGACTTTAAACACATATTTTACTGAAAATTAGATAAGTAGTTATTAATGAGTTAGGTAATGAAAGTGATGAATAATGATTTGGAATCTTGTTAAAATAGGCAGGGCTGATCAAATTAGTAGTTAAATAGGGGATATGAGAAAATTTGCTAAAGATCAATTGAGTAGTTACATAGATGATAGGAGAAGATTTGTTAAATGGGTTCTGTAATCAGTAACTTCACTTAAAATGACATATGGATTATCTGAACACAGCAAACTAAAAACCAACAATGTAAAATACAATATCAAAAGATTACTATGTATTTGCAATTTTAACAATATGTTACATTTACAGAAAATACCAAGTCGTTCTCCATCAAAACAGTCCTTAAAATACCTTTAAAGAAAGTGAATATGTAACTATATATAATAAAAGTAAATGACATGAGAAATAATGATCAGATAAGTAACTACTAAAGAAAAAAGTAAGGGGAGTCAAAATACTATGTGGGGGTCACTTTACTATAGCGGTATGTTAACCACGGGGTCCATTGTACTATCTCACACCTGTATCTTGGTCTGGTGGCTTCTCCTGCTTGTTTCCATGGAGATAGTTAAGTTTAATACCGTACTGTGACACATTCTCCACCAGGAAAGTTACACCATGCACCTTTAAACTATGCAGGAAATGTCAACTTTTTTTCAGTGGAGCTACCTTTTAATCTGAGTAATATCTGGGTCTTTTTTCTTTTTTTTTTTTGACAACCCTAGAACTGTCACTAAAATGCTTCCCAAATTTGATACCAAAAGTGTTTTAATTAACGAGATTTGAAATCAGACTTGTCCTGGAAGAACAGTATAGAAAAATAATTCATAGTGCCACCACAAATTAATGAATAAAACAGAATACAACTATGCATAAATAGTTTTGCAATTTAATTTTTAACATTATAATTTTGTTTGTTTAGATTAGATACAGAAGAATACAAGAGAAGATACCAAGAACTGAAAACCAGGAATAGTTTAGGTAGTAGGGTGGTCAAAAGTACCGAAAATCAGATAGGAATCGATACGAAAACTAGCATCGAAACTAGATTTGAGCCGGTATCGATACTAAAAAAAAAAGTCATAGTCACAGGACAGAAATAAACTTTTCCTGAATCACTTTAGAAAGATCTTGAGCTGTTTCAGAAGAAGTATAGGACCACATAGACTATAGACGCTATAGAACCTACTTGGAACACTGAGGGACTACACAGATATAAGATTACGTGGGAATATAAACGAAAGTACTACGATTTAAAGATGAAAATTACTTCTATTCTCTTAAGTGCTTTTATTATTATTGCGGTATCGGAATCAGTTGTGAGTATCAAGTATTCCTCAGTAGGGATGTAACACTCCCTGAAATATCGTGATATCGTATCATCAAAAGTCTCTCAATAATATCGTGGACTGTCACAATACATTGAATCACAAGTTCCTTTGCTTAAATTCATGGTTTTATAGAAGCAACAGCTTATAAACATCGGGAACTACATATCCCATGATTCATTTCAGCGCAGACAACATGAAGAAATATGTTTTTGACTTGAATTCTTGGGATGATAACGGAAATAGTTCACATCAAAATCTTGTCAAGGGATTTTAAAAGCAAAAAAGAGTCAGATCTACAAAATATCGCAGTAAATATCGTACTGAGAGATTTGGATATCGTTACATCTCTACTCCTTAGTATGGAAATGGAGTTTGAAACGTTAGTATCGTGACAACACTGTGAGGTAATGATAACAAGCCAAATGAACAGATACCCAGCCCTGAGCGTCGTATCCATCTCTATATACAGCATTTTAACATAACTATTGTCTCTGTGTCCATTTAATCACCAAAGCTCCGTGTCACTCCGTGTTTGTCTCGTTTAAGTCCGTGTTGGAAATCATGTTTGTCCAAATTTGTAGTGCCATTTTTAACTCTGAATATTTTGTTTTATAATTCAATGAACTGAAGCCATGTGCTACAAAGATTACATAGAGTAGTGCGTATTATTTTCTACATCATTTTCAGAATGTTTATGCAATTTAAAAATTTGCCGTTTTTGTTGATTTTTGTAAAAAGAAATGTATGTGCCATATTAAAGGTGCATTGTGTAACTTTTCTGGTGGAGGGTCCGTCAAATGCTTTTTTCCATGGAGATGTTATTGCTTTTTTTGGAATTTTTCACAGTATTAACAGTATTAAAACTTTCTGTCTTCATGGACGACCAAACCAGACCATGTTACAGGTCAGATCTGTGGAAAGGCGACCCCGCTCACAGTCAGAATGTCTGGTTTTTTAGGTATTTTTGAGCTATAAAACCACCTGTAATTGAATAAATGTAAAGTAGAGCTGTTTAATTAATGTGATACTGTGGAACATTTCAGGTAGAGTAGTGACGTATCCATAGAAACAAGCAGGTGACAGACCCTCAACCTAAAAGTTACACATTGCACCTTTAGACATTTTAGCTGCTGTGTGTAACCTTTCTCCACCTGCTTGTCTGCATGGAGAGATTTCTTAGCTTTGAATGTTCCACAGTACGGCATTAAACTGAACTATCCCCATGGAGACAAGCATTGATAAGACAAGTTAGGAGTAAGATCTGTGGAGTGGCAACCCCGCTCACAGTAAGAATGGAAGTTGTTTTTCAAGGTATTTTGCAGCAAAAATAAAACACATCTGCAAATGCAATAAAAGATGCTCAATGCCATAATGCGGAACATTCTAGGCACAGCGATTACATCTCCATGGAGACAAGCAGGTGGCGGACAACCCAATCATAAAAGTTTCATTGTGCATCTTTGAGTTCTTTAAAGTAAGCTATAATTCTGTGATTTTTTTTTTCTTTTGTATGTTTTTGGGTTGTTTGACGTCTTTATATTTGTATTTAAAACATCTCAATTTTGTAGCACACGGCCCAAATCTCAGCCATTTCAAGTGTCTTTTTTTTGTGATTATTTAGTTTTTTTATTTGTCGATGTACCGTTGTGTTAAAGTGGGACTAAACACCTGAACAAACACAAACATACTTCAAACAGAGGGATTAAAATGGGCCGTACCTGGAGGACTAAAAGGAGAGTGAGGGAGGAGGAGGAGGTCTGGAGGTATATGGAACTCTGATTGGTCGAACAGGTATCCACGCTACAAACTCCGCCCCTGCAGCCAGATGTTTGTATCAGAAACACCAGAAAGTCCTGCGTGATGTCATCAGGTACTTAAAGGGCCCATATTACGCTATTTTCTGATCTGTTAAAATGTTTCCTCATCAAAAACAGACCTGGAGTTGTATTTTGTTTCATTCACACACGCATAAACTCCTGTAGATTTAGGCTTCTTAAACTGAAAACACTCTGGTTCCACCTTGTGATGTCATGTGGTAATACAGGAAGTGCTCCATTGTGTCACTAGAATCTTTTGGGATTTTCAACCCTGGATTTGCCAGTTTCGACCAAACAAAAGGAGCTGTTCACTTAAAAACTACCACTTCATCACATGACATCACAAAGTGGAACAGAGCATTTTGAGCTTGACAGATGTAAACAGACTAATAATAAAAAAGTTACTCAAACGTGTGAATGAAATAAAACAAAACTCCAGCAGCTATGTTTTTGATGATATGTCTTAAACCCCAACAGAGTTAATTTTGCGTAATATAGGAAAAATGTTTATAATTTTTTACCATAAAGCTGCAAATTTGCCTGGTTAGTTTGCGATGAAATGCCAAGAAAAAAAAAAGTTTAGGAACAGTAGACATTGCTACATTGACATTGCTAAACACCATATATCTATATACACATACAATTTAGTATCAAAAGTAGTGGATTTGGAGTTTAGTTCCACTTTACGTTTGTCTGCGCAGGTTCAGTCTTGTACAGGTACAAAACATGTTGTTCCAAACATGTGCTTTTTCTCTTCTGTGAAGTTGTGGTTCTGAAATCTGTCAAAGTGACGTGTCCCGCGATGTTTTCAGTGGATTCTGTTACATCAGCTGTGCCAGATTCAACTGTACTAAAGATGCTCTATGTACCCACACTGTTCTATTAAATGGTTCAATCCTGAGAGTTCGGTTTGTTTCACTCTGGGTCAGATATAACAGTATGAATTTTACCTGGTCCCCGAATGGTTGACCGGGTTTTGTATTCACCCTGTGTCTCTGTGTGTGTGTGTGTCTGTCTACCTGCGATAATTCTGCCATTTATGGACCGATGGTCACCAAATTTGGTACGTGGGTCAAGCTCCTGTGCCCGATGCCGCAAAAAAAGTGTGGTGATGATCCAAGATCATTTGAGGTCACATGGGTCAATTGAAAGGTCACATCATTATAAAGGATCGGCAATTTTGGCAATTTCTGAACCATCTGCGGCCTAAAATATTCACCCAATCATCACACAAGTTGGCACACACATAACTGGGGTACACTGGATGTTACAAGTAGAAACCGGTCAAGATCACTTGAAAGTCAAGGTAACCAAGGTCAAATATGCGTTTTTGGTCATAACTCTGCGAAAAATCGAGCTCGAGCAACGGGAGTGTCTCAAAATGTCAGAAAAATTATTATCTATTTATAATTCTATGCATTTATATACTAAAATATTAATAGTTTTCAAGATAATCACTAATTATAACAGTTCCTTTTTCTTTCAGTTTTCAGTAATTTCCATTTCTTGTTTTTCTGGTGATACACAACACACTGATCTACAGTCACACAACTAACATACACACAACTCATGAAAAATGACATTTTGGTTACACACTAGTAAACACAGACATTCTCATATGTGACCAGTATCACACAAATGTTCATGGACCTGTACAGATACACACAAGGCATTGTGGATATAATGATCATGTGATATGGGCTGGACTCCTCAAACTGCTTCTGTGGTGATGAACTGACCCACCGACGCCTCATGGGACCAGGTTGCTATCTCCTATGACTGCACTTGTGTCATTCTATTTTCACTATGTTCTGCCAATACTAGAGTGGAATAAATACTCTTGGGGAGCCTTACAAACTCAAAAACTCATCACATAAAATTTGGAACTAAACCTGAACTAAACTAAGTCTATTTCAAGACTTTACTAGGCTCAAACCAGGACAAAATTGCACAGAAATTTACAGTTTAAAATTTCTATGACTTTAAATATGTGTATTAAATTAAGTAGCTTTTATTAGGCAGCATAAGTTTTTTTTTCAGATGCTTCTATTCTTTTTTTATTCTACTCAAATTATGTCAGGATGGTATGGCAAATTTTTACACCAGATGCCCTTCCTGTCATAACCAGCCACATTGTGTACTCAGTCAGAACTGACAACATTTCAAATCAGTTAACACCATTTATGATTTAAAGTTTATTTTAAAATGTACAATAAACTTTACAACAACATTCACTTCCTCCACCTCGTTCAGTCTTTTTACACAGGTCCATCTGATTTGTCCTGTTCTGTACTTTATGCTTCCTCGTGCCTCAGTCTTCCTCCCAGTTTTCCAGAGACTTGGGGCTCACACTTTGGTTGAGTTCCACATCTGCAAAGCCGCTGTCCTCCAGGTCTCCTTCATACGCCTCATGTTCATCTGGAACCACACGTTCAGATTACACTCACACAAGTTTAATGGCACACAGAAGTTAAAGGTGCATTGTGCAGCGTTTCTGGTGGAGGGTCTGTCACCTGCTCGTCTTCATGGAGATTAGGGGTGTGCAAAATATCAAAATATCCATATGTCGTATCATTTAATTTGATGATACAGTATTGATATAACCCAAAACATGCTACAGGTCTCCATGAACAGTTGAGTGTCAAGGTCAGTTAAATACAATCAATCAATGAATTTGTCCAGGGACTACAGGTGGAAATTAGCACTGATGCTACAACCTGACGTACAATGCATCTCTCCTGTTAAGGTAAAATGCAAAAATTGTGTGCTGTCCCTGTCTCAAATAAAAAAAAATAAAAAATATCGTGGGCTGCTGTATTGATATATTACCAAGAGTATTTTATGGTATATTTTACTAAATTATTTTGTTACAGAGCTACAGTTTTTTTGCTTGTTCAGAGGAAGGAAACTCATTTATGCGACACAAATGACATACTGTATTCACTGTAAGTCACTCTGGAGTATAAGTCGCACCAGCCAAAAAATGCATGAAAAAAACAAATGTAAGTCACAGCGGACTATAAGTCGCAGTTTTTAGGGAAATATATTTTGTAAAATCAGAGACCAGGAACCGACTTTTCATAATGAAAGGCAAGTTCTAGTAATAACAATAGAACAGAGAACAACAGGCTGAATAGGCGTTAATACGTTAACGTAACATATTAACAGTTATTCAGATAATTACAGCATAAACAACAGAACAGAAGTTTACCAAACTCATGATCTCACTCCAAATCACTAAATCCATTAAATTATTCATCCTCGGTGTCACTTCTGCGCAACTTCAGGAGATAAACCATAGATCCATGAGGTAAACAGAGCGCTGCTTCCTCTTCTGTGTAGCTGTCGTCAGACTCAGCATCAGTTCCAGTTAGAATTATTCGGGTCTTTCTGAATCCCGACAGGATGGTTTCGGTGTCACTGAAGTCCAGACTTTGTCCATCCATCCAGTGACTTCCAGGAAAGTTACATGGAGCACCCTCCCGGTTGCCGTAAAGCTGTGTTCTCCATCCCTGCTTTCCGCCAGTCAATCACAAGTTTCTCACTCACTCCAAACTTTCTTTCTGCTGCTTGATTACCGTTTTCGGCTGAATATTTCACTATTTGCAGCAAGACAGCAGCTTTTTCTACAGGAGACATGTGCAGTAGAGTGCTAAGTGACAGTGGTACACGAATAATAGTAGCAGCAGATACTGGCACACAAGACTAGACCCTCTCGCCGCTGTCAGTCTGATAATTTTTATATATAAGTTGCAGGATCACCCAAACCATGGAAAAAAGTGCATGATTCTGATGATTAAAATTTGTGTAAAGTTTGTGTCTCATATGAACTTTGCACAAGGAGTGGGTAAACAAAAACTTTTGGTATCATATCACAGCCATCATTTAGCTTTTTTTTTTAACCATATCGAATGAATTTGAAATATACTTCATCGAATCGAAAGTGCACTGTATCGAGGTATGTATTTTATCGGCAAATTCTTAATAATACCCAGCCCTAATGGAGGTGTTATTGCTTTGAATGTCCATGGTATGATACTAAAACACATTTATCTAGCATGTACTCATTACGTGTGTTTGTATCAAAAATACCATAATTCCTTCTGTGAAGAGGGGCGACTCTCCACAGATCTGAACTGTAATGTAGCCTATAGTTGTCTTCCTTGTGATAGATAGGTTTAATCTCTACGGTAATAACATCTCCATGGAGACAAGCAGGTGACAGACTTTCCACAAAAAATTATTTCTTTGCAAACAGTGGTAGATTAAAGAGTTAACTGAACAATGCCTAAAAAAACGGACTATTTAAATGATTTTACTGATGCTGGGTGACCGAAAGGACAAGATCACAGATGCAAGCGGTTACATGAGAATGAGAAGAAAATGGATAGGTGTTTTGTTGTATTTTACCGTAGTTCATTTCGTGACTGTGACAAACCAACACACCATAACCTCTCTGTGTACCTGTCTGGAGGAGCAGAGCTGACCCGTCTTGGCTCAATTTGACCGTCGGTTCTTCCATCAGGAAAAGGCGGAGGTTTGCCAGGCTCCCACTGAGAGACCCGACCCGAGGAGAGGAGGCCCAGAGCAGGGAGAGAGGCACGGAAACACACTCCCTGCACACATACACACACACACAGGTCAGGTACATATATTTGGACATGACATGGTTCATGGTAGTATGTCAGGTCAGGAGGGACGGTCTGGAGTGATGGGTCATTTGAAAAGGTGAAGTTTAAGAACAGGGTTATTTTAAAAGTCAGGTCACAGTCGTCTCATTTTGACCTCATGAGCTGCTTATACAGTATGTCTGTACTGGGGGCAGGGCACATTTTGCTCAAATATAAGAAACAAAGCAGGTACATGGCCTCTAACCTTAAAGGTGCACTATGGAACTTTCTGATTGGGGGCCTGTCACCTGCTTGTTTCCATGGATATCTCAGTGCTCTGCCTGGAATGACATGAAAGAGCTTTACCTTATATTTTCTTATTATATATATATATATATATATATATATATATATATATATATATATATATATATTTTATTACAGCTCAAAAATACCCAGAAAACGGTGATTCTGACTGTGAGCAGGGTCGCCTCTCCACAGATCTGCCCTGTACCTTGGTCTGGTTTGGTCTCCATGAAGATAGAAAGGTTTAGTGCCATACTGTGAAACATTCCAGACAAAAAAATAATGGACCCTCCACCAGAAAAGTTACACAATGCACCTTTAACTTACTTTAACCTAGGGTATCCCCCAGGTTTGACTTTTTAAGACCTTTTTAAGACCACTTCAATGAAAACTAAGACCAACATCACACACACTATGCAGGCGAAAAACTCTAGATCCAATTCTAATAACAACCAACCAACTACGGCATTACCGTATTTTCCAGGCTATTAGGCGCTCTGGATTATAAGGCACATTAAATGGTCTATTTTCGAACTTTTTTCACAAATAAACCGCACCGAACTTTAAACGAAACACAACAGTTGGATAGGTTAGTGGTTTTGTTTGTTTGGTGCGTTCACGGTGACTCTGGGCTTTGTTCAGTTGTGGCGTGTAGGGAGGGTGCTGTCTGGGACCACTGGATTGTCGGCGTGTTCGCAGTGACTCAGTTGTTCAGTCGTGTCTAGAAGTGGCACATTGGACTCGTTTTTTCGGTTCGTTCCTCCGTTCTGTTCCTCATCCGTGTGGAGTGATGAGTGTGTCTGTGGGTGTATGTCGCTGTGCGGTCGCTGCCTGCTCTGTGTGTGTTTGCGTGCGCTGCGGGTGGTGCGGCTTTGTAGTTTACTGAAGTCGTGCTGGGACACCCGAGTGGATTCGTGTATAGGGCGCTCTGGATTGCGGGGGCGCGCAGTCGTTTTTTGATGGGGTTGGAGGCTTAAGAGCGCATCTAATAGCCCGGAAAATACGGTACATCTAGAATCGAAGAGCCACTGTGGACTAACCCTACACTTCCCCATGATCCATCAAATGTCTTCCTCCACTGTACTGATTGTTTACTCATTGCTGCCGGCGCCACAAACCAAAGTATTGTTTGCACATACTCAAAATTAGACGTTCATTCATGTGATTTCATGTTGTTGTTTGTTTTTGTCCCTCCATTTAACATTGCACTGCAGACCGGTTGAGTAAACAGAAAAATAGGCTAATGAAATTTAAGACATTTGTGAAAAAGTAAGACTTTTTAAGGCCTTAATTTAGGAACATGAAATTTAAGACCTTTTCAAGATTTAAAGACCCTGCGGCTACCATGTAACCCATATTTGAACTTTAACTCATGTTGTTGAGCTAATAATGCTCATATATATACTCTAGGTCAAAACATCATGGACAATTAAAGGTTCCATGTTTAAAAAAATCAAGAGTTAGTATGTACCTTTGAGAAGCACTGTTTCCATTTGACTCTTCATCACCAGCTGCACTTCTCTGTTGGTCCTTTGGAGGTCGCTCTTCTCCACATTCTGCAAACAATATTTAGTACAGTAAATCACAAATAATAGAAAAAAAAATCACTGACAAATATAGCGCTAAATTCATGATCAAACTGACCTAATAATAATTTTAATTTTAAACAAAGTAAAATACATCAGCCCAGTGCACTGGTTCTTTGTCACTGGTTTTGCTCATTTTCTTGAAATTCTAAGAGCAGCCCCAGGGGCTCTTCTCTGCATTGAAGGGTCATACTGTGTTCCACAGTATGATGATAAACTTGGATGTCTCCATGGAGACAGGCAGCTGATGGCACCGGGCCAAATTACACGGAAGTAAATGCAGGTTTTTCAAGTTATTGTACAACAACAATGAAAACAACTGTATTTGAATTAGATACAAGATGGACAAGTTTAATGCCATTCTGTCAACACTCCAGGCAAAGCAATAACCTTTGCATGGAGACAAGCAGGTGACAAACCTTCCAGTACAACATTTCATAGTACAGCTTTAAGTTTGGATTTTGATAAAATAATTTTTTTTTTAATTTTACAATAGTGCTTTGAAATACTCATTATAACCACAACATTTTACGCTGCTGTTTGTTCACTCACCTCCTGTGTGTTTGGTCCATGTCTCTTCTGTCTCCTCCCTCTCTCCCCTCTCTTGTCTCTCTCTCCACCTCCTCTTCAGTTCTTCGGCCCAGAACAGAACCTCACTGAGCAGGACTCTCCGGAGCACGTTGTTGTCCTTCAGACTGGGGTAGATTATTCTGTGAAGCTTTTACACACAACACAAACTCATGTTAGGGCAAATTAAACAAATGAAATAATGCAACTTAAAACAGATACTGGTAATCATAGCACATTATTAAAAACAACACAGTGTTATCACAGATTTAATACTGTATTTAACTTTAAACTCAATGCCTAAAAAGCTTCATTTTGTTGTTAAGGTACACTTTATTTTACAGTTGGGAAATTTGTCTTCCGCATTTGACCCATCCTTCAGTGTCTCTGGGTTACATCTGTCAGGAGCAGTGGGACCATCTCCAGATCTTGAGCTACTCTTGGTCATGATTTCCTTAGCTTGAGGATTTGACCTGTTACTGACCTAGGTTAAGGGAAACTTTGAACAATAAAACCATCTGTAACTGAATAAATGTGAGAGCCAATTGATGGAACATTTTAGGCAAAGCAATAACATAACCTCAGGGAGACACATAGATGATAGATGCTCTACCAAGTTATGTAGTGTACTTTTAACTTCATGTCTAAAATATTAAAATCTGCCATCACCAGTGTGTATGAAGTCTCCCCTTGGCTCCTCTCCTCGGGCGTCACGTGGAGTTCTCCTTTGAGATGGTGAAACACTGCGATCTGAGAGCAGAACCCGACCTGCTCCTGTCGTCCACCAGGGGGCAGTCCCACTCCAGTGATCTCCACCTCGTATCCAAAGTCCACACACACCCTCTGAGCCCTGCATGTGAAGAAGTGAGCAAGTTTGGATTAAACTAGACATATTATGGAAACTCAATAGCGGGGAGTACCTCGGAGTGAGAATGTAGGATGTAGATTTTGAACACATGTTTTGTGTTAGGGCAACGCTGTTTTAAAAGGCTGAGCTGTGCGTTCGTGGAGTTGTGTGTGGTGCTCATGATGCACAGGTAGCTTATATTTTTAAGTTTATCAAAATGTACCCAATCTGGCTAAGCGTTTTTTTGGTAATTTTGTGGATTTTTTGTGTTTACACTTACAGTTATTGCTGCCTGCTGTTCTTTAGTTTGTTTTTCGCTTTGAGTTCACTCCCAGTTAGTCCGCTTCAGAATTGATGGTGCACTTGTAAAGGCAGACTAACTGGTTTATTTCTTTTTATTTGTTTGTTTTTTTGGTCACTTCCCTTCCAAAAACACTGATGGTCATCTATGAGAGAAATGTAATTGGAACTTGCCTGTTTGTGGTTATGTTTGTGCTGGTTATATCTACCAGATGACATGATTTTGGCTTTGTGGGTTTCATTCAGGTCTCCCTTTTATGTCTATCCATATTTGTGCCTCTCAGTAAATTCACAGGAAAACCAACTATTCATGTTGAATAAATAACCTAAACTTTATCCCTGGCTCAGTATTCTCAGTATAACATGGGCTTTTTAGAGCTTTTGCCCAGGTTATAATTGTATTCCCCAAAGTTGTATTCAGAGTGATTCATGCATGTTTGAGTAATCTTTATTCTCCTGTATTCAGCACATTATTGCTTTGAATATCTCATTTTACTCTACCCCCCATACGCTCACTGCACTGTACTTACTCCATGTTCCAATTATTTTCTCCCTAAACCAGTATACACGCAGGATTCAGCAGCATCGTGTACCCATTTTTGCTACTTGCTAGTGTGATTTGCAGGTATCCATAGACGGGGCTGGGGTTGTTGTTGTTATTATCATATTCACAGTGATAAACTATAAAGGGGCTGTTGGAAAACCTTGTTTTTATTATTAAGTTGTTTCAAATCACTACTGTAATGTCAATAGAAAATTAAATGTCTTCTTCAAGATTGATTTTTTCCTCACCAGACTAATCTCAGCAAAGGAGGGGAGACTGTTTAAAACCAAAACTTACCACTGGACCATGTGTTTCTATAGTGATGATGTCTCTTACCATGTCTGGAACTGTGCCCTGGTCCACTCGAACTTGTGATCTGGATGCCTGAAGCCGGTGAGTCCGGGGAAAAGAGGGTTAAACTCAGAGTTTGGGGTGCTGATGATGACGTGCACTGGAGCCATGTACCCAAACAGAACCTCTGAGAAACGCTCCACATCAGGCAGAACCAGGTGCTCGATACTGAGGTGAAAAGAACAAAAACAAGAGACAAATGATTCAGATATAGTTCTTTTATGTAATAAAGTGAAATATGTTTTGTTGTTGTTTTGAGACTGCTGTGTTCTGCATCTAATCATGAAGCATTTTTATAATCTGTGAACAAGGAAGTAAAGCTGGTGTGCTGTGGCCTCTGAAGGTTTTGAAAAGCTCCTATAAACTTTCTGAGTATAAGAAGGATTCTAGTTATGCATTACCCCTCAGAGCGCACCATACAGTGAGCATCTGTGATTTCTGGTGCCCCCTTGTGACTTACAGTTCTATACTGACGGCCAGGTCGAAGCCTCTGAGGCGGGAGTCTGGTTCGGTCACAGAGCCCTGGTACAGCTCCACACACAGCTGCTCAAAGCCGGGCTGCAGATAGTCTGTGGACAGAGGGGCCAGAGCATATCTGGGGAACAAGAAGAGAAACTTTTAACGTACATTTTTCAGATAGAGGATACAGGGGTGGTATGATTACTAGTGCTGTCAATCGATTAAAATATTTCATATGTCATATTTCATAATTCAATTAATCAATGTTCCTCTGCCTATTTTGTCCTGATGACAATTATCAGACATTTTTGTATCTGAAATGTGTAAAGCGTGCATGTTGAAAGTAGTTTTAAAAATTTTTATTAGACTACTCAATATTGTAAGTTTGCATTTCTTCAAAACAGACCATCTTAGGTATAAAAATATTCGTTTCATCTCACTTCACTAAACTACAATACTAATATACGTGCACTGTGTTTTTTAGATGGTGACATTTTTAGATTATTCAAAATGTGCTAATACTGAATGTGAACATTACTGTGATGAGGTCCATTATCCCATCATATATTTATTCAATATCAACACACAATTTAAACATTTTCAGTGAAAATTACCAGAATCATTGCATATAAATTTGAAGAATGCTAACTTTGCTGGTGTTTTATCTTGATATTATCTAGAACATCTGCTATAAGTTAAAAATATAAAACAGAGTAATAGATAAAGTACCGACCCTTTTTTCTTGACTTTGGCTCCATTGATGTCGACTCCCACCAAAAGTTCAATTTCACGGTGAAACTTGAGCTGTTTTAGGAGAATACATTCACCACAACCCAGATCCATCACCTGGAAAGAAAAGACAGAAAACTGATCACGTTTGAACGCAAAAACATATTTAACAATCAACACACGTGTAATGTAAATGTAAAGCTAAAAACATATTAGCATCTATCAAATCACTTCCCAAAAAATTGAAATAAAAACTATATAACTTACTTTTTTAGTTTTGTATTTCTTAATAAAATCGACGACAAACTGGTGTCTTTGTTTGTGAAGCGGGGGGTTGAAAAGAGGCTGCATATTTCGGTAAATTTTAGGCAAAATTTAACATTTAACGATGTTAAATCCAAGACGTAAAGAAGGTCAAGTTGTTGAGGTTGCCAGGTCACGTGTGCGTTTTCCAGGTTTGAGAAAAGAAAATCAATCAAAAACAGATTAGAAAATATTTATTAAAGCTGTTATTTATTTGTTTGTATCATTAATACAAAAATATACAAAGATAAGCTATTATTTTATTTAACATAAAAACATTTTTCATTTTCTTCATCAGGTGCGGGGCATAGAACTGACACGTGTGTTATACTGCCCTCTGCTGCTGTGGTTGGACACTGCACTTTTATAGTTTTTTCCATATTTTGGGAGGATTTATTTTCTCCCAACAGTTACCGGATATTTTAATTACAGTCCCCACAAGTTCAACAAATACTTCTACTATTACTACTCAGAGGTGGGGACTTGTAAGACGTGACTTGGACTCGAGTCAAACTTGAGTCACTATTTTTAGGACTTGAGACTTGACTTGATAAAATGGACTAAGACTTGGGACTCGAGTTGAAGGTCATTGACATGGGATTTTGGACTTGAGGCCTGTGACTTAACAAGACTTGATGTTTCTCCTAAAATATAAATGTTTTTAGAAAATACTTTTCTCTTTACAGTTGATAAATGCGGTGCTGAATTTTACAGGAACAAACTGGAACATGTCCCTCCCACTTCTGTTCTGTTTGGTACTTTAGATGTAACTGAAGTACTGTGGTATGATATCCTCAAATGTACTACAGTAAAATACAGTAATATACAGTACAATACAGTAAAATACAGTACAATACAGTAAAACACAGTACAATACAGTAATATAAAGTACAATACAGTACAATAAAGTAATATACAGTACAATACAGTAAAACAGTACAATACAGTAATATGCAGTACAATGCAGTACAATACAGTAACAAAAGTACAATACAGTGATATACAGTACAATACAGTAATATACAGTACAATGCAGTAACATGCAGTACTATACAATATTAAACAGTACGCCTACAATACAATAATATACAGTACAATATAGTACAATATAGTAATATACAGTACTACATAGAATTACATAGAACATGATCCTTCCATTTCAGTGCAGACTACCTGACAAAATAATTGTTATTTAGCACTTTTAAATCTGAATTCTTGCTGTTCTGACCCTAATGATTCACACTCAGATCTTGAAAGACTTTTAAAAAGGAAAAAATTCCATTTATACAATTCTTCTATAAATACTCATATATAAATACACCATGAACTTTTAAGTACAATTTAGCTTAAAAGTCATATACATTGCAAAAATCTGAAGACTTGAAATGACTTGAAGCTTAAAGCAGACGACTTGGACTTGACTTGGACTTATGAGCCAGTGACTCGAGACTCAACTTGGACTTGCCTGTATTTGACTTGGGACTTGACTTGGACTTGAGGTCAAAGACTTGAGATTTACTTGAGACTTGCAAAACAACTTGATTCCACCTCTGCTACTACTACAACAACAACAAAAACAACAACAACAACTACTACTACTACTATTATTACTACTACTACTACTACTACTACTACTACTGCAGGGTGACTAGGTGTTCCTATTTCCACGGGACAGTCCCACTTTTGAGCTCTGTGTCCCCTGTCCCAGCAGATTTATCCAAAACCAGTGATTTGTCCCAGTTTTATACAAGAAATGTTCCAGTGGTCTCTGTTTTTGACCAGTTTGATCCACACCAACAGTAACGAGGGGAATATATTGTTATTTGTTTAGCAGAAAACTGTGCTTAGAAATGAGCATAAGACGAAAAAATGCACCAACAAAAGTCTATACTGAGCCACGAGTGAGTCAAGAATGGACAACGTTATGCTCTATTTTTACAATTTTATTTATACCAACACCCCAACCTGGTGTGTCCCAGTTTTGAATTTTTTGGTCACCCTATATTACTGCTAGACTCATGCTAGGCCCCCACTGCATTTAATGTTTTGTTTCTTGTGTCATAAATAAATAAAACCTACAAACATCTTAGGTATGCCATGGAATGTTTCACAGTATGACTGTAGCAGCCAAAATGCACCTCCGGCCACTGTGTGGCGCTGTGTCTTTGTTTTCTGTGAGTTGCTGCCGATTGAAGACCTCTAGTTAGACAATACAGGTGTTGCAGATTGATGAGGAGCAGTCTTTTGACCGTGTTCACAGCTCATGCTAAACTAAAGGAATATTTGAGCTTTTACTGGAGTTTTGGGCTCATTTCTATGGAAACACGCGTCAGAAATACCTTTTTAAAATTTGCATCCTCGTGGCTGCCCCTGTATTAGTCAAAAGACTCCTCAGAAGACAACAAGCTGAAGTGGATTGACTGGCACCACTCACCACACTGCAGTCTGGCTCTGAGAGCTGCGTTTGGTTGCTACAGGAAAGGCAGCAAAGTGGCATTGGTTTGGACGAGGACAGAGATGGGAGCATGTGCAGAGGTGGCTGTGGTGAAGGACACTGCACAGACTGACCGTGTAGAAAGTTTGGACACAGATCTATGCTACGGACTTCAGCTGATTGAGATGGACACTAACGTAAGGGAATGAAGTAAAGGAGGGTAATTTTCTTCAATCAGTGTACAGTAAAATTTGCTTACGAAAGATTTGTTCAGCTTTATTGAACTTTCACTGAACTAATTTTACTTTGTAAAAAGCAGTTATTTAGTCATGAAAAGTTTAAATTCTTCTATTGCTGCTGCTCGTTTACAAGTTGAGGCTGAAAAGGCAGTGCTTCTGGTCAGACTGCCTTTATTGAAAGAGAAACATGCCATAGAAGAGCAAATGGCAATAATCAGAAGGAAAAAGGAACATCTGGATATGGAGATGGAAATTTTAGAAATGAAGGCTGAAATTGCTTTGATAAAGTCTAAAAGGTCTAAGCCTAAATTGGAGTCTCATAAATTTAAACGCTCACATTCACAGCAGCCATTGTCACACAAAGTAACTGCACCAACCCCATTTGTCCTGTGTCTGGTAAACACACAGGTGCTGGGACAGGTGAGCCCTCTCCTGTAATGGACTTTATTCCACCCACTGCTGATCACTTCTCTGATGTATCATCTCCATGTGAAGAGAAACAAACTGACACTTCAGACTCCGAGTGAGTGGGTGAGTTATAGTTCCTTATTTATTGTTAGTGACTTGGTTGGTTAGTCAGTTGGTGGTTGGTTACTTACTTAGTTACTTAATTAGTTAGTTCGATATTTCATTACTTATTTGGTTAGTTACTCATGGTTCCTTAGTTATAGTTACTTAGTTATAGTTACTTACTTAGTTACTTGGTTAGTGTGTGAGTAAGTTAGTTTTCATTTTGAAGTAGTCTCTGTTGTGGTGATGGTGTACGGACGTCTTTCTCATTTCTAGCAGATTGTTGTTACTATAGTTGTGTGTGTGTTTTTATTCTGATTCTTTGCAGTCTGTGGTTGTTACTGGTTTTATTGGACTCTTACATCACAAACATGAGTCAGCTGGAGCGCGCGCGTCACGGGAGGAGCGCCTCTACTGCCCCACAACCTGAGCGCACAGGACAAACACTCACGCCGGCTTTTTATGCACAAGTGAGGCTCATGCGGAACAGTTGAACCATTTGAAGCAAGTTTTTGTCACGTTATGAGCTCAGATTTGGATGAACAACAAGATGAAATCCTCGCTCTTGTCAGCATATTCGATCCGGAGGAGTTTGTCCGGAATGAGTCGAAGTCTTCCGGGGAGTTCCGAGTGTGCGTGGAGCTCCCGGCGCACTTCACTGTCGTACTAAAACAAGGTAAAAGAATAAACTAATTCAGCTATTGTTATCTTTTAAGCACTAGTTTTGCCTAAAAAGTGTATGTCATGTTTATGTTGCGGCGTTCAATCTTTGTGCGTAACTTAAATAAATTACACATCCACGTTACGACGCTTTTGAACTCTCTTCCTGGTGCACGCGCACGTCCCAAGTCAGGTGGTACCCAGACAGCCGTACTGCCGTTGTCATGGTAACGGTGAAGCTGTCACTGGCTGACACATCAGGACATTAAAGGGACACTATGTAACTTTTTTCTGCTCGCATTACTTTGTCTGGAATTCATTCTCTTTTTTTTAAGTCGAACAAGAGCTTGTGAAAATCTGCTTTCTTCTACATTCTTATTTTACTGTGTGAGGAGTCGCTTCGCCACAGATCTGACTTGTAACAGACCTGATTGGCATTAACGGTTTGTCTTCATGGAAAAAGAGAAGTTTAATGCCATATTTTGGAACATTATATCGAGGATGTAATGACATCTCCATGGAGACAAGCACAAACATGACTCGTGCTGTCTGCAGTATCAGGTATAAGTATAATGAATGTGTTGTAATAATAAGCCTCTGTTTGTGGATTTCAGTCACATGACTTTCTAATTTAAGGACATTTTTAATCATTCTGAGATTCACATGACAATATTCTTCAGACCAATAATATTTACTACAGATAGAAGAAGTTCAAATGAATATTGTTAAAATGCAGGTTTTTGTTGTTTGCAGTGAGTTCTTCCAGTTAAACAGGAATCTCATTCATGTCAATGGAGAATTGGGAAAAGTTTTGCATTTTAAATATGACATAAAGTCAGTTGATTTCTGTAAAATGTTCTATTTTCATGTGCAACAAGTCAACGCTGATGCTCTGGAGGCTTTAAAACTGCTTTATCAAAGTTCAAAGTTCATATATAAAGTAGAAAAAATACTGAGGCACTCAAAAAGTACAAGATGATACTATGTATCTTTCTATGTACTGGTTGTTGGGATTTGTACTATTTATATCTTGTATTATATTTGAACTTAAATAGCTTGTAACTAAAGTCTGTTCAGTCTACATGTCCCATCATGCACCAGGGGACTGTGAACCAACCCACTGTGAACATGTGACCTCCACCTATAACTTTAAATGTGCACTGTGATCTCCATCTGCAGTTCGCCCTGATGAAGGCCAAAGGGTTTAAACACGTTGTTGTGATTTTAACTTTATCTGCCATGTGCTATTAAAGACTTTTAATCATTTGTACTTTTTGAGTGCTTCAGTTTTTTGTACTTTGTATTTGAGACTGGTCCCTTCACTGAAGACACCAAAAGGACAATTCTGCACATTTTTTATATCCAAGTAGCTTTCCTGCCCCAAAGTTTTTCAAAGTTTATAGTTTGCTTTATTATCAATTCTTCACATGTACTGATCATACAAAGAAATCAAAATTACATTTCTCTGTCACATTTGTAGACAAGACCAGACAAATATTAAAGCACAAGAAATGACTACATTTATGAGCACAGACACAACAAATAACATCATCTCTAACCACTACAGTGACCATAAATAAATAAAGATAAAAAACACTAGTGTACAGTGCAGTTCAAGTTCCTCACAGGTGTTCCAATTAGCGAGAACAGGTAGGGGGCGCTAGAGGGTGCTCTTGGAAAAAAAAAAAAAAAAAAATTTGACAATGAAATCCAGGCGCTCCAAAGAAGTAAATGTTGCAGGAGGAAAAGTAGAGTTAAAAGGCCTTTATTTAAAGGGGCAAAGCCAACATGTTTCATCAGAGCTTAGTTCAAAATGTAAGGCATGAGCGTGGCTTTTAAAATACACAGCAACAAACGGCAGGGACAGATGTTGATTAGAGGTAAACAGGACAGCTGCAAGACATACAGCACAAGACATGGCACAGGCAAAAAAGAAATCGGTACAAATAAATACACACACACACACAGAGATGTCTGTGTGTGTGTGTGTGTGTGTATCTTTTTAATACAAATACAAATAATGAAAAAAAAAGTAATTTGTAAAAATATATTTATAAAAAGTATTTATAAAAAGCAAGACAAAGTCCTCCTTCACACCAGGATGTTCACATGCTCTTAATTTATGAATCCAGAAAGCTTCTCTCTGATTTCATTTCTGAAGTCTATCTCCACCTCTTGCCACCTCCAGTGGTTTCACATGTTCACTGAAGGTATTGAACAGCTGCTATTATGATTTCAGATCAAGTATTAGGAGCAGTAATAAAAGCAGCAGATAGTTTAGTGCAGAACAAAAGGCACTTTTTTATGTGGCTCTAGTGCAAATGGTAAATAGTGCAAAAGGCAAATAGTACAAGACAAAAAAAAAAGTCTCGCCCCTCATGACAATATTGTATGAAACATGAAAGTATCAAAAGGTTGTGAAGGATTGTGTATCTTTTATTTAATAAACACTACATCATTTATAGTTATTACTGTGACAGGCCTGAACCATTAAACTGTGATACTGACGTCACTTTCCAAACACGTGACCTTAGTTTGTCTTTTATAATGTCCTTCTCTGCATATTTTCCAAATGTATCAGACTTTTATGATCAGATCTTTGTTTATCTTTTAGATGACACACTGAGCAATTACGAAATCACTTCTCTCCCGCCTCTGTGCCTTACCTTTGACCTGCCTGAGGATTACCCATCATGCTCTCCTCCTGCCTTCATGCTCAGCTGCTCCTGGCTCACCCCAAAGCAGGTACAGAACTTACCACAATATTCCAGTGAGTAATGCTCTGTTTAAGTTCTGTTTCTTTAAAATGTTGCAGTGGTGCTGGTGTCTGGGCTTTTTGTCAAGGCCGTTAAGGGTCAGTTTGTAAAATGAACAGAGGTTTCAGTGTGGATGAGGAGGCCTGGGACCACAAGGTGATACAATAAGATCGATGCGCGAAGATCATTGCATTCATGAGTAGTTTTGAAGTCTGGAGCGTTAGAAATTTACGTATAAAACGAAAGTAATTGAGACTAGTTTTAATATTCTCCGCTAAGAATTTTGTGTGACTGTTAATTTTGACATTTTCATTCAGTATGAGGCCAAGGTTTTAAACTTTATTCACAATGAGAACATTCAAACAGCCAACAGTCACCTCAAAGTCACAGTTTTTTGTTTGTGTACACACTGAAAAACAAAGAGAAACTTTTTTTTTTTTTTTTAAGTCAAATGTGACCGTCTAAGCCAGGGGTGTCAGACTCATTTTGGTCCGGGGGCCGAATCCAACCAACTTTGATCCCAAAGGGGCCGGATCAGAAAACTCATGACATATAAACCCCAAAAATAAAAATAAGTTCAAATATTTGTGCAGAGAAATGCAAATCTATTACAGAAATGTTTTTCAATTGATGAACTCTTTCTTTTACAAAATATTATAATATCATGAACAACCTGAAAATTTAAGAAAAATGCAATTTCAGCACAATGTTTTAACATGAACTTGTATGCATTTCATAGAATTTAGTCATGCTTTCTTTTTGCTCCTGAAACTTGGCATCTTTTAGCCTCCACAAGTGCATCAACATCAGGCACCATGTCCTGAGGAGCTGCTGTCTTCACAATGTCATTCAGGTGTTTGTCTGTTGTGTGTTGTGTGTTGTGTGTTCAGTGTTCAGCTTTGAGCGCAGCTTTGTTTTATTAATGTTCATTACTGAGAAAACCTGCTCACAAAGGTAGTAACTGTAAATCTATTATTTTTTGTTGCATGTCTGCGGGCACATCAGAGGTTTTGACTGTGAATGGAGGGCGAAAAATAGCAAATTCTGTCTTCAGGTTTTAAAATATAATTAAAATATTTTAGTAGAAAATCAGTGGAGGGCCGTATGTTTGACACCCCTGCTCTAAGTCATTCTGAGACGTGCTGTGAGGCCGGACTCAGATGTTCACCAGCCTGAGCAGCTGTTTTTGGAAATCCATACAACACAGTACATTTAGGTTTCATATGTTTTTATTCATGTGCAAACAGATATAGATATGTCATTCAAACAACACGTACACACTCTGTTTTTCATTTTTATGCAGATAAAACATAACTTATAAAGTTAACTAACAAAAACAAATCACTCAAAAAACAGGAGTAGCGTCATACAATATAATAATAGAATGATAAAAAAAATATACTACTACTAATATGAATAAAAAATAAAAATAAACAAATAATAAATACATTAAAATAATATTAATTAAATATTAAAATGAATTCTAATTAAATACATTAAATTTAAATACATTAAAATAATTTAAAATGAGTTAAAAATAATTAAATTTATTTTTTTTAAAAAGGGGGTGGGTGGTTGGTTTAGACTGTTTTTAAAAAAAAGTCAATAAACAATAACTTTCTAAAAGTCTTTTATGTTTCCTTTCTTGGATTATCTAATCTTCTCTACTTTCAAAAAGGACATAACTTCATACATTACTTCATTAATCCATCGAGTGCTGGATGGGGCTTTTGTTGGTTTCCATTGTAAGAGGAGATGGCGTCTTGCGACAAGAGAAGTAAACACCAAAACCTGCAGCTGTAAAGGTGAAGAGCAAGAGAAGTCTTCTGGAAGACCAAAGATAGCTACATACAAAGAAACATTGTTTTTGACAACACCTTGGACAACGTATTAAAGTAAATCTGCCAAAGGTCGTCAAGGCTGGGCAAAGAAAAAACACATGTGTGAGATTACAAGGTCACACACCCCACACCTGTCACAAACATCCACAACAGAGGGAAAGATCTGGGTTAGTCTTGTTTAGATGTCATTATTCAAAAACAAAACTTTAAACTGTATTAAAGTCAGACGGGCACAAATGGTAAATAAAAATAAATACATTTTTCACCTCATTGTATCATATAAAAACTATACTCGTGCATTTATTCTTTTTTATTTTTTTTATGTTCTCTTTTGTTTCCTCAGCTGTCCTCACTCACTGCTCATCTCACTGACCTGTACCAGACCACAGGGGGCGCTGTTGTGCTTTTCTCCTGGGCCCAGTTCCTCAAATATGAGACTTTAGGCTTTCTCGGAATCACTGACATACTGGAGATAGATTCAGATGGAGTAAATGGATCTAACTTGGGTAAATCTGATGATAAAGACTTGAGTTTGGAAGAAAACAAATTAAAAACTGCATCTGCTATAAACTTTGATGGAAGAGTTCCAGAGGTTGCCAGATTGGAAGCTCAGATCACTGATATGTTGGAAATACCCTCAGATGAATCCAGTACAAACTTGGACAAATCTGATGAAAAAGATTTGACTTTGGAGGAATCTGCTGCAAACTGGGATGGAGGAGGCTCAGAGGTTGCCAGATTGGAGGCACAAATTCCTCTTTCTCTTACTCCGGGACAAAAGCTCATGTCCCAGCTGTTGATCCATGATGCTGCTCAGAAAGAGAAGGCGTTTTTCAAAGAGCAGTTTGAATGCGGAGTCTGCTTTGAGAGTTGGCTCGGCTCGGAGTGCGTTCAGATCATCGAATGTGGCCATGTTTTTTGTCGTCGTTGTCTCGCAGACTTTTGTAAATTTCAAATCCAAAATGGAAAAGTGACAGATGTGACGTGTGCGCAGACCGACTGCAAAGCTACCCCCACACCGGCACAGGTTAGTGCTGTCACCATACTCACATTTTAAACTCCATTTCAAACTAACGAAAAGTCAAAATACTAATTTTGATACCACAATGTTCAAGAAATGTCAAATTCTGTCATGCTTATGGGAAATTTTCAGTTTTGATGCATGCTTGTCTCCATGGAGATGTTACTGCTTTGTCTAGAATGTAAAACTGACTCTCACAGAATCAATTTTATTATTTTCTCAGGGTTTGTATGAGTCCAGTCTGTTCTAGAGTTAATTTAACATTTTAGGAAATGTTAACTTAGTAAGACTGGCCCAAAGTTCCTGTTTAACCCCGAAATCAAGAGTTATATTAATATTTTGAGAGTAAACAGATAACACTTTATAGGGTTATACTAAGTTAGCTAAACAACACACAGAGGTGTTTTATTTTTATACTTTATTTTAGCTAATTTAAGATGAAATTTTGAACAAAACTGGTTCAAACTTTTTTTTTTTTTTTTCACAGGAGTTTGAAGTGGTGGGTGGGAGGAGCCAAATTAACACTAAGGGAAAATTTATGGATTAAAGGGACAGTCCAGAATTTTGGACATACGACCTCATTTCCTAGTGAGCCAGAGTGTTGGAGACGTGTGGAGACACTTTTTGAAATATTCCATCCAGTCCTTGTATTTGCAGAGGCTGCTGGTGCTAGACTAGTGCATGTCAATGGTCATAGTTCTCCTGCCACTAAAAACAGTTTTACCCACTGCACAAAACACTCGACTGTCCATGTGAATGTCTGTGTTGATAGAATAATTTTAGAAGTAAAACCAACCTTGTATTTGAAGGATTTCTGTCTGAGCAGCAGCAGTGAGTTGTACTTCCTGATAGAAAGCTTGGCAGCGGCGGACTGATATCACCAAGCACCTATCTTACTGGCAAAGTAAAATACCACTGCTGCTGAGAAAATAGTTCCTCAACATGCAACAATTCATGCGATTCAAGGTTAGTTTTATTTCAAACATTATTCTATCAACACAGACATTTACATGGACAGTCTGGTGTAATAATAGATTTGTTTGGGGTGTTTTGTGGAGTGGGTAGAGGAGTGGCAGAAACAGAGAACTATGGCCATTGACATGCACTAGTCTAACAGTGACCTCTGCAAATACAAGGACTGGATGGAATATTTTAAAAAGTGTCTCCACACGTCTCCAACACTCTGGACTTCATTACCTAGTGAGCCAATGTCCAAAATTCCAGACTGTCTGCCTGTTTAACACTAGGGGAAGTTGACTTAACTTCAACCATATCAACTCTGGCAAGTAACCCCAACTCCGACCCCCATTTAACTTTCAAATAGTTAAATTAACACTTTTTGTGTTATAAACAAACACATTTTACCCTGAAATTTTAACCTTTCAGTTTTTAGTCCAGTGAGGTTCATTTGGTCTTTTTTCAGAACAAGAGTTTGTTTTCATCCCTGATGGTTTGGACTGCTCCTTGCGCTCTTCCTCAGAATGGTCACGTGATTTGGCTGTGGTTTCATACTATGCCCTTTTACGGAGGAATAGTACAGAACCAATAAGAAAAAAAAAAGCACCTCCACGACATCAGCACATAGTCAAAACACAGTACAGATGACTAGACTTGCAACCAGGGAGGGTAGGGAATTTGAGTTGACCTAACGTAGGCAAGCAGCCATCCGGATCCTGCAGCCACGTGGCGCTGGATACAACAGACTCGCCCACCATGCTGTTTGGGTCAAAGCTGCGAAGGCATAAACATTCTAGACAAAGCAAAAATATCTCCACAGAGACAAGCAGATGACAGACCCTCCACCAGAAAGGTTTACAGTGCACCTTTAATCATAATAAATTGTAATAACTCCTTATATTTGTAATGCTCTTTACAGTCAAAGCCTCTCAGAAGGTCCATCCACAGGCCTTGATGTTGGGGAACCACTGCTCCACCAATGCGCCACTGTCGTCTCTAATTTATTTTCATTTTTTTAGGTGAGAAGTCTTGTCGGTGAAGAGCTGTTCAGCCGCTACGACCGCCTCCTGCTTCAGTCCACTCTCGAATCTATGCCTGGTAAAAATACTCTCAAAATTTTGCATATATCTAAAAAAAAAATCATTTCGATATCCAAATCCAAATCCACTTTATTTTTATAGCACATTTTACAAATAAAACCAAAGTGCTGCACAGAGATCATAAAATGAAGACAACCAAAATGTAAATTGCTAAAATGTGGTTGTACTAGTCCTCAAACAATAAAACCTGTCAAATAAAAGCAAAACCATAAAAAATCATAAAATAGCAGTAAATAAGTCAAATAAATAAAAGCCAGAGAATAAAAGTGGGTCTTAAGACAAGACTTAAAACTCTCCACTGTGGGGGCTGTTGGGACATGGGGAGGGCAGAGTGTTCCAGGGTTTGGGGCTGAACACAGAGAAGGTCCTGTCTCCCCTGATTTTAAGTCTCGTTTTAGGCCCCACGAGGTGGAGCTGGCCCTCAGACCTCAGAGCGCGCAGTGGAGTAAATTTGAATGAGGTCTGAGATGTTGACACAGGGCCAGTCCATTCAAAGCTTTAAAAACAAACAATGAAATCTTAAAATCAATTATTATCCTTGTTCCTTTGTACCTCCCTCCTCTTGACTCTCTTCTGCTGTGTGTGTGTTTGTGTCAGATGTGGTGTACTGCCCCCGGCCCTCCTGTGCCTCTCCTGTCCTCTCAGACTCCAACTCCATGGCCCAGTGCTCCGTCTGCAGCTTCGCCTTCTGTGTCCTCTGTAACAAAACCTACCACGGCTCTGAGCCCTGCTACACCCCCACCCCCGAAGACGAGAGGCAACAGAGGCCCCACGACGACTATGCGCAGATCCCAAAGACAAAAGGTGACTTCTGCTCTTTCGTACACACAAAGTAAACATGTATATACATTTAAAATTCATTTCAAATCTAAATTGTAGTGTATTTTAAAAGATACAATATTATGCAGAATGAACTCTTGTGAGCTTTAAACCATGTTTCGAATGTTGTTTCCTTCTCAAAATCAGACCTGGAGTTGTGTTTTTGTTTTATTTACACATGTTTGAGCAACTTTTTATTATACACACATCCCGAATTTCAGACTTCAGGTCATTGTGCAATGCATACTGGGAAGGGCCGACCGAAAAAGTGAGCATCAAACCACCATGTTTGATTTCCCAGTGGGATGCGTCTATTGTCAAAGCCGATCTTTTCAAGGCTTTTGAATCATATCGTAATCAGACATCATAATCGTGTGGTTGTTGGATGTCCTAACAGCGGAAAACAGCTGGAGAAATGGGCTTTGAAAGTTTGTGAACTCCATAAATGCAAAAGGGAATCAGATGTGTGTGACTGCAAACCTCCGTTCAAACTGTTTCCCTTCCCAACGGAATTGAAAAATAGTGAAAAGCGAAAGCGATGGCCAGGACTGATACACTGGAAAGACAAAAAAGGAAACCTTTGGCTGCCTAAGAAATCATCCAGAGTTTGCAGAGAACATGTACAGTGAGGAAAAGAAGTATTTGAACACCCTGCTTTTTTGCAAGTTCTCCCACTTGTTCTACCCAATCATGGAGGGGTCTGAAATTTTCATCATACGTGCATGTCCACTGTGAGAGACATAATCTACAGTCCCTGACAAAAGTCTTGTCGCTTATCCATTTTGTAGAAACAAAAGCTTATAACCTGACTTTAAATTAATCGATTGGTTTTAGAAATGTCTCATATGAAGCTAAAACCCTCCCAAATTATGCTCAATAAACTAAAATAAATTTGCTTCACTGAAGAAAGATTGATCATTTAATGAACACAGAAAGGTCAGATTTTGGCAAGACAAAAGTTTTGTCGCCTACAGAAAATTGAACAAATAATTTACTTCAAATACAAAAATATGTTGCATAACGTCAGTGAATGAAGTAGTGGTGCTGTGAGATCCAGATTTAATATCTTGTATGACTTCCATGAGCTTGAAGGACGCATCCATGCGGTTCGACAATGATTCATACAATTTGTTGATGAAGTCATCAGGAATAGCAAAGAAAGCAGTTTTACAAGTTTTTTACATTCCCGGAGTTCCTCAAGATTCTTTGGTTTTGCCTTCCATGCTTCCTCTTTCATTCTACCCCAGACCTGCTCCATGATGTTCATGTCTGGTGACTGGGCTGGCCAGTCCTGGACCACCTTCATCTTCTTCGCCTTGAGAAACTTTGATGTAGAGATAGAAGTATGTGATGGAGCACCATCCTGCTGCAAAATTTGACCCCTTTTATGGTTGGGAATGTAAGAGGAGCTAATACTTCTTGATATTTTAGGCTATTGATATTTGCCTTCCACCCTGCAAATGTCTCGTACATCCCCATACTGGATATAACCCCAGACCATGATTTTTCTGCCACCAAACTTGACTGTTTTCTGGGTGAATGTTGGATCCATGAGGGCTCCAGTAGGTCTCCTGCAATATTTGTGTCGGCTGTGATGTAATTCAACCAAGGATTCATCTGAGAAATCCACCTTCTGCCACTTTTCCAGTGTCCATCCTTTTAGCAGGCTGTGGACCTTGGCAAATGCCACACGGTTTTTTAATTGCCTTTTGTTTAGTGCTGGTTTCTGTGCACTGATTCGACCATGGAGGTCATTTCAAGACAGAATTCTACAAACTGTTGTGGTTGACACAGGGACTTGAGGTGACCAGGCCTGGTGGAGTCTGCTGCAGTGGAAAAGGGGCCTTGGATTTTCTAATCAACAAACGGTCCTCCCAAGCAGTTGTCTTGCAGGGTCTGCCGGACCTGGGCTTGTCAAAAACATCTTCAGTCATTTCAGATCTTTTTCTTATTCTTTGTACTTGACACTGAGACACATTGAAGGTGTCACCACCTCAGCAGTGGATCTGGTCTTCAGCCTCTTGATAATTAATGCTTTGGTCTCAGGGTGGATCTTAGGCATGTTGTCAGAGGTCAAGTTGCAGTTGATGTGAAGGTCTGGTGTGCTGGGTTCTTTTTATACACACCCATTAATTGATTGATCAGTAACTGATCACAGGTGAGGCTGTAATCTAGGATTGGGTGCATCATATGACAAGGCCACAAGACTTTTGTCTTGCCAAAATCTGACCTTTCTGTGTTCATTAAATGATCAATCTTTCTTCAGTGAAGCAAATTTATTTTAGTATATTGAGCATAATTTGGGAGGGTTTTAGCTTTCATATGAGACATTTCTAAAACCAATCGATGAATTTAAAGTCAGGTTATAAGCTTTTGTGATCTACAAAATGGATAAGTGACAAGACTTTTGTCAGGGACTGTAAAAAGAAAAATCCAGAAATCACAATGTATGAATTCTTAACTATTTATTTGTATGATACAGCTGCAAGTAAGTATTTGAACACCTGTCTATCAGCTAGAATTCAGTGTGTGCACACCTGGTGAAAAACTACAGGAAACGTTTGACCTCTGTAATTGCAAACAAAGGCTACTGTACCAAATATTAACACTGATTTTCTCAGGTGTTCAATACTTGTTTGCAGCTGTATCATACAAATAAATAGTTTTTAAAAATCATACATTGTGATTTCTGGATTTTTTTTTTCAGATTATGTCTCTCACAGTGGACATGCACCGACGAAAATTTCAGACCCCTCCATGATTTCTAAGTGGGAGAACTTGCAACTAGCAGGGTGTTCAAATACTTATTTTCCTCACTGTATGTGCAGTGCCAACAAAACAAAATCCCGATCCCTCGCTCAACCTTGATTACGAATTTAAAAAGTCAACGCCAAGTGAAAGGCACCAGCTGTTCGCCAAGAAACACCTTCCACTGCAAAGCGACCAAGACGTAATGTTGCTGTAAAACCACAAGAACAAGAAAGTGCAAGCTCGGCATGTTTGTCTTCTGTACCTCTCGCTTAACAAATGGGATTTTGCTATGTTGGTGCTCCATATACAAAATGTTCACTGCAAACTTGGGATAATTTCTTAGGTAGCCAAAGGTTACCTTTTTTGTCCTTCCTCTGTATCTGCGTTCTCTTCTTTGAGACAAGAACCTATCCTAAATATGCAGGGTTTGTGTGTTAAATATGTGAAACAAAACATAACTCTTGGTATGTTTCTGATGAGGAAACTACATTATAACAGATCAGAAAATATACATAGTGCACTTTGTGTGTGTGTTGTGTGCAGAGGGCAGGATGGCTCTGTGGGAGGATTACTCCACTGGGTACAAAGCGAGGCGGCAGCTCCTGAAGCAGAGGTTCGGCAAACAGGCATTTCTGGGGTTCCTGGAGAACTGGCTGAGCTCAGACTGGATCAGGGAAAACACCAAGAACTGCCCCCACTGCTTCTCCCACATCCAGGTCAGAACCACACACACAGCACCAAGAACTGCCCCCACTGCTTCAGCCATATATAGAAAAACAGATAAAGACATACCGGTCAAAAGTTTTAGAACATTTAGAATTTTTTTTCCCAGTTTTTTTTATTGAAAATGATTCAGTTTATTGTGTCATTGCACTCTGAAATGAAAGCATAGAACAAATAAGCAATTTGAGTTGAAAAAGAAATCATGGAATCAGTTTATAGACGAAAATGTATTCTAAGAACATTTGACTCATCAAAGTGTCCACCTTTGGCAGATATAACAGCTGAACACACTTGTGACTCATTCTTTCTACAAGAGAAGTCAAATATTTTTCAAAAAGTTCTTCCCAAGTCTATTGCAGAAGTTCCATAAATGTGTGGCACTTGTAAGTTGCTTCACTCTTCTGTCCAGTTCATCCCAAACCAGCTCGATGGGGTTTAAGTCTGGACACTCCATGTTGTCAAGCTTTATCATTTTGTTCTTTTTTCCTGAGGTGTTTTGGGTCAATATCTTGCTGTAAGCTGAACCTCTGTCCCACCAGGCATATACCAGAGGGTACTGCATGTGGTTGCTGTTTTGGTTCAGTGTGCCACTAACTCTGTACAAGTCACAGACCCTAGATCCAGTAAAACAGCCCCAGACCATCACACTTCCTCCTCCATGTTTGACAGTCGATGTCACACACTGTGGATCCATCCTCTCACCTACTCAAAGGTCCTGTGTGATGAACCAAAGATTTTAAATTTTGATTTGTCAGTCCATAACACCTTCAATAGTCTTCAGTAGTCCAATGGTGGTGTTTTGTGGCCCAGGAGGGTCTCTTTGTCATATTTCGATGTCTTGGCAGTGGCTTTCTTGCTGCAACTCTTCCTGTCAAACTTGCAGCTTGAAGTCTTCTCTTCACAGTTGAAACTGAACCTTGCTTACTTCGACCACTCTTAAGCTGTGTTTGAAACTGTTGTCCTGTGAGCTGCCTATCATGCAAGCAGTTAACTCCCAGAAACTTGTCCTCTGATTGAGTTGTGGCTTTGGGTCTGCCAGAGTGCTTCCTGTGAGTTTCCCCTATAGTGCCTTTTGAAAACTGTACTCACTGACACCTTGACTTTCTTTGCATTTTCCCGTACGAAAGACTTACATTTTTAAGTGTTATGATGGTCTGTCTCTCTTCCATTGTTAATCACCTTTTTCTTGCCATTTTTGTAGCAACACACTACTTTGTGCAGTACAATACTGTAGACCTGATGCTCATGAGGGTCTGGTACAACAGTGTGTTTTAACACTGCTTTTATGCACACAGAGGGGGATGGAAGTGATCAAGAAAGGTTGGAACATCTGTAGGAAATAGTAGCACCAGCTTTCAAGGCTGATTAAGCTTGGGGCTCAGTTGGTAGAGCATTCGCCCACTGATCTAAAGGTTGGCGGTTCGAATCCAGCTCTCAATATAAACATCACAGGTTGAGCGGTCAGATCCACTGACCCACAGGTTGGCTGGTGTGATTTCAGCTCCCACAGATGAATGCTGTCGTTGTGTCCTTGGGCAAGACACTTAACCCACCTTGCCCACAGTGTTTGCGTACACTGGTGTGTGAATGTGTGTGTGAATGGGTGAATGGGTGAGTGGTTCTTTGTTGTAAAGCGCTTTGAGTGCCTTGAAGGTGGAAAAGCGCTGTAGAAAAATGTGACCATTAACCATTTTAAAGCTCTTCATTGGACTTGCACGACTTGAATTGCAATAAATAACAGGAAAAATGAGGGTGTTCTAAAACTTTTGACCAGTAGTGCAGATAAGAGACAGATAAAGAGAGATGAATAGATAGATTAGATAGACAAACAAAACACATTCACTTCACTTGATATAATATAGATATTTTTTTATGATTTTCAGAAAATTGAAGGATGTAACCGTATGACCTGCACCCGTTGCCACCGTATGTTTTGCTGGAGATGTTTGAGCAAATCACCCACTTCTGACCACTTCAAATTCTCCTGCCCTTTATTCCCATGGCTCCCAAGACCAGTGTCCTATCTCACTCCCACCACCCCCCTTTAACACCACCTTTCACAATTATACATTCATTTACTTGGACATTGTCAATTATATCTAATGCACTTTCTTGTTTAAATTAAGTTTATACCAAAATTAGCCTACAGAAACATTCTTTAAGTGTACTGGTGGTTTTCAGATTCATAAATGTGATGGTTTCAGACAGGCCTGTCAACAGAAATTTGGGGGCCTTGAGCAAGAAGCCTCACATGGGCCCCCTACTAATCTAAATGAATTTATTTTATTTTTATTTATTTCATTTTATTTGTATAGCATATTTTATAAACTAAAATACTTATTTTCTCCCAACAGTTACCGGATATTTTAATTACAGTCCCCACAAGTTCAATAAATATTCCTACTTTTACTACTACTCAGAGGTGGGGACTTGCAAGACGTGACTTGGACTCGAGTCAAACTTGAGTCACTATTTTTAGGACTTGAGACTTGACTTGATAAAATGGACTAAGACTTGGGACTCGTCTTGAAGGTCATTGACGTGGGATTTTGGACTTGAAGCCTGTGACTTGACAAGACTTGATGTTTCTCCTAAAAATATATGTTTTTAGAAAATACTTTTCTCTTTACATTTGATAAATGCGGTGCTGAATTTTACAGGAATATTAGATTATAATAATTCAATATTAATATACAGTACAATACAGTAATATACAGTACAACACAGTCATATACAATACAGTAAAACATAGTACACTGCAGTAACATACAGTACAATAGAGTAATATACAGTACAATGCAGTAATACACAGTACAACACAGTAATACTCAGTACAGTGCAGTAACATACAGTACAATACAGTAATATACAGTACAATGCCGTAACATAAAGTACTATACGATAATATCTGTATTATCTTACAGTACAGGCCTACAAAACAATAATATACAGTACAATACAGTACAATATAGTAATATACAGTACTACATAGAATTACATAGAACATGATCCTTCCATTTCAGTGCAGACTACCTGACAAAATAATTGTTATTTAGCACTTTTAAATCTGAATTCTTGCTGTTCTGACCCTAATGATTCACACTCAGATCTTGAAAGACTTTTAAAAAGGAAAAAATTCCATTTATACAGTTCTTCTATAAATACTCATATATAAATACACCATGAACTTTTAAGTACAATTTAGCTTAAAAATCTGAAGATTGAAATGACTTGAAGCTCAAAGCAGACGACTTGAACTTGACTTGGACTTATGAGCCAGTGACTCGAGACTCAACTTGGACTTGCCTGTATTTGACTTGGGACTTGACTTGCACCAACAAAAGTCTATACTGAGCCACGAGTGAGTCAAGAATGGACAACGTTATGCTCTATTTTTACAATTTTATTTATACAACACCCCAACCTGGTGTGTCCCAGTTTTGAATTTTCTGGTCACCCTATATTACTGCTAGACTCATGCTAGGCCCCCACTGCATTTAATGTTTTGTTTCTTGTGTCATAAATAAATAAAACCTACAAACATCTTAGGTATGCCATGGAATGTTTCACAGTATGACTGTAGCAGCCAAAATGCACCTCCGGCCACTGTGTGGCGCTGTGTCTTTGTTTTCTGTGAGTTGCTGCTGATTGAAGACCTCTAGTTAGACAATACAGGTGTTGCAGATTGATGAGGAGCAGTCTTTTGACCGTGTGTTCACAGCTCATGCTAAACTAAAGGAATATTTGAGCTTTTACTGGAGTTTTGGGCTCATTTCTATGGAAACACGCGTCAGAAATACCTTTTTAAAATTTGCATCCTCGTGGCTGCCCCTGTATTAGTCAAAAGACTCCTCAGAAGACAACAAGCTGAAGTGGATTGACTGGCACCACTCACCACACTGCAGTCTGGCTCTGAGAGCTGCGTTTGGTTGCTACAGGAAAGGCAGCAAAGTGGCATTGGTTTGGACGAGGACAGAGATGGGAGCATGTGCAGAGGTGGCTGTGGTGAAGGACACTGCACAGACTGACCGTGTAGAAAGTTTGGACACAGATCTATGCTACGGACTTCAGCTGATTGAGATGGACACTAACGTAAGGGAATGAAGTAAAGGAGGGTAATTTTCTTCAATCAGTGTACAGTAGAATTTGCTTACAAAAGATTTGTTCAGCTTTATTGAACTTTCACTGAACTAATTTTACTTTGTAAAAAGCAGTTATTTAGTCATGAAAAGTTTAAATTCTTCTATTGCTGCTGCTCGTTTACAAGTTGAGGCTGAAAAGGCAGTGCTTCTAGTCAGACTGCCTTTATTGAAAGAGAAACATGCCATAGATGTCAGCACTGCTGCCTCTGTTTTACTGGCTCTTCGAACTCGTCCATTGTGTGACTGACTCCGCCAACGTGAACATGACGTTTACATCGCTCCTACTGCCGTGTTCTGTGTGGGTTTCCGGCAATGAGTGGAATTAATAAATAAATAAAATATAAATAAATGGGATGTAGCACAGAATGTGAAAACAGGAAAATACCGCCTTGTAATCCACTTATTTCAGCAAAGTAACTGTAATCCAATTACCACTCATTGAAACAGTAACTGTAACTGAATACAGTTACTCATAATTTGTACTCTGATTACTTAACGCCGGTACATGTAATCTGTTACTCCTCAACACTGCCTGTAATGGACTTTATTCCACCCACTGCTGATCACTTCTCTGATGTATCATCTCCATGTGAAGAGAAACAAACTGACACTTCAGACTCCGAGTGAGTGGGTGAGTTATAGTTCCTTATTTATTGTTAGTGACTTGGTTGGTTAGTCAGTTGGTGGTTGGTTACTTACTTAGTTACTTAATTAGTTAGTTCGTTACTTCATTACTTGTTTGGTTAGTTACTTATGGTTCCTTAGTTATAGTTACTTAGTTACTTGGTTAGTGTGTGAGTAAGTTAGTTTTCATTTTGAAGTAGTCTCTGTTGTGGTGATGGTGTACGGACGTCTTTCTCATTTCTATCAGATTGTTGTTACTATAGTTGTGTGTGTGTTTTTATTCTGATTCTTTGCAGTCTGTGGTTGTTACTGGTTTTATTGGACTCTTACATCACAAACATGAGTCAACTGGAGCGCGCGCGTCACGGGAGGAGCGCCTCTACTGCCCCACAACCTGAGCGCACAGGACAAACACTCACACCGGCTTTTTATGCACATGTGAGGCTCATGCGGAACAGTTGAACCATTTGAAGCAAGTTTTTGTCACGTTATGAGCTCAGATTTGGATGAACAACAAGATGAAATCCTCGCTCTTGTCAGCATATTCGATCCGGAGGAGTTTGTCCGGAATGAGTCGAAGTCTTCCGGGGAGTTCCGAGTGTGCGTGGAGCTCCCGGCGCACTTCACTGTCGTACTAAAACAAGGTAAAAGAATAAACTAATTCAGCTATTGTTATCGTTTATGCACTAGTTTTGCCTAAAAAGTGTGTCATGTTTATGTTGCGGCGTTCAATCTTTGTGCGTAACTTAAACAGTAACTTAAAGAAATTACACATCCACGTTACGACGCTTTTGAACTCTCTTCCTGGTGCACGCGCACGTCCCAAGTCAGGTGGTACCCAGACAGCCGTACTGCCGTTGTCATGGTAACGGTGAAGCTGTCACTGGCTGACACATCAGGACATTAAAGGGACACTGCAACTTTTTTCTGCTCGCATTACTTTGTCTGGAATTCATTCTCTTTTTTTTAAGTCGAACAAGAGCTTGTGAAAATCTGCTTTCTTCTACATTCTTATTTTACTGTGTGAGGAGTCGCTTCGCCACAGATCTGACTTGTAACAGACCTGATTGGCATTAACGGTTTGTCTTCATGGAAAAAGAGAAGTTTAATGCCATATTTTGGAACATTATCGAGGATGTAATGACATCTCCATGGAGACAAGCACAAACATGACTCGTGCTGTCTGCAGTATCAGGTATAAGTATAATGAATGTGTTGTAATAATAAGCCTCTGTTTGTGGATTTCAGTCACATGACTTTCTAATTTAAGGACATTTTTAATCATTCTGAGATTCACATGACAATATTCTTCAGACCAATAATATTTACTACAGATAGAAGAAGTTCAAATGAACATTGTTAAAATGCAGGTTTTTGTTGTTTGCAGTGAGTTCTTCCAGTTAAACAGGAATCTCATTCATGTCAATGGAGAATTGGGAAAAGTTTTGCATTTTAAATATGACATAAAGTCAGTTGATTTCTGTAAAATGTTCTATTTTCATGTGCAACAAGTCAACGCTGATGCTCTGGAGGCTTTAAAACTGCTTTATCAAAGTTCAAAGTTCATATATAAAGTAGAAAAAAATACTGAGGCACTCAAAAAGTACAAGATGATACTATGTATCTTTCTATGTACTGGTTGTTGGGATTTGTACTATTTATATCTTGTATTATATTTGAACTTAAATAGCTTGTAACTAAAGTCTGTTCAGTCTACATGTCCCATCATGCACCAGGGGACTGTGAACCAACCCACTGTGAACATGTGACCTCCACCTATAACTTTAAATGTGCACTGTGATCTCCATCTGCAGTTCGCCCTGATGAAGGCCGAAGGGTTGAAACACGTTGTTGTGATTTTAACTTTATCTGCCATGTGCTATTAAAGACTTTTAATCATTTGTACTTTTTGAGTGCTTCAGTTTTTTGTACTTTGTATTTGAGACTGGTCCCTTCACTGAAGACACCAAAAGGACAATTCTGCACATTTTTTGTATCCAAGTAGCACTCCTGCCCCAAAGTTTTACAAAGTTCATAGTTTGCTTTATTATAAATTCTTCACATGTACTGATCATACAAAGAAATCAAAATTACATTTCTCTGTCACATTTGTAGACAAGACCAGACAAATATTAAATGACAACATTTATGGGCCCGGTCAAGCAGAAGTAAACAGCAAGGCCAAAAATTCAAGTTAATGCATCTGATATAAAAATGTATTCAACAGATACATATGTACTCTAGTTTATGAAACAGTTTTTTTCTGTACCATTTTTAGTTCTAAAGTTCCATATGTTTTAAACAGACCATGTATGAAACATGGAACAAAAATTATTTCCCAAATTTCAAAGACCTGCAAATCATGTCAATAAATGGATGTATTTCATCATATCTTGTGTTATTCCATCTTTGAACTGTTGATGAAGGTACATGATTTTTCAAAAAACATGTATTTTAAAATGTTAAAAGGAAGGACTGACATATTTTATAGAAATAGTTTCCTTTCATTTTGAAGTAATATTAAAGTATTCGGAAGAAAAAAGCGACAAACGATGTAAAATCCTGCACCTTCTACTTGTTTGCACAATTTTTCCTCCGTTACTTTTCCCTCCGTTACCATGACCTTTCTTAATAAAAAATCTCATGACTCAAAAAGTAACAGGTTTTTTCAATCTAATCTTGTACCATATGGTAGAAAACTATATGAAGCAAATCTTCAAACCAGTTTGTTATGGATATGTAAGTGAGAACCAAGAGTTATCACTGTTTGGATTTATTGACCAAAATATGCTGCATATTTCATTCCCTCCGTTACCGACATTAGTTTTTAAATTTTTTTTTGTCAACAACGTGAAAGAATATCACAGGTTTAACTTTACCTTGTTGGAGTGTAACTCTTTCATACATTACCTTACTTATTTCAATAGTCCCTCTAGTTTCTGAATAAGAGCTATTTGAATGTAAAAAATCTGCCCGTTTCCCTCCGTTACTACTTGATTGGACCCTTATGTGAACAGACACAACAAATGACATCATCTCTAACCACTACAGTGACCATAAATAAATAAAGATAAAAAAACACTAGTGTACAGTGCAGTTCAAGTTCCTCACAGGTGTTCCAATCAGTGAGAAAAGGTAGGGGGCGCTAGAGGGTGCTCTTGGAAAAAAAAAACTAAAAAAAAAAATTTGACAATGAAATCCAGGCGCTCCAAAGAAGTAAATGTTGCAGGAGGAAAAGTAGAGTTAAAAGGTCTTTATTTAAAGGGGCAAAGCCAACATGTTTCATCAGAGCTTAGTTCAAAATGTAAGGCATGAGCGTGGCTTTTAAAATACACAGCAACAAACGGCAGGGACAGATGTTGATTAGAGGTAAACAGGACAGCTGCAAGACATTCAGCACAAGACATGGCACAGGCAAAAAAGAAATCGGTACAAATAAATACACACACACACACAGATGTCTGTGTGTGTGTGTGTGTGTGTGTATCTTTTAATACAAATACAAATAATGAAAAAAAAAGTAATTTGTAAAAATATATTTATAAAAAGTATTTATAAAAAGCAAGACAAAGTCCTCCTTCACACCAGGATGTTCACATGCTCTTAATTTATGAATCCAGAAAGCTTCTCTCTGATTTCATTTCTGAAGTCTATCTCCACCTCTTGCCACCTCCAGTGGTTTCACATGTTCACTGAAGGTATTGAACAGCTGCTATTATGATTTCAGATCAAGTATTAGGAGCAGTAATAAAAGCAGCAGATAGTTTAGTGCAGAACAGAAG